GCAAGTATTGCTGCCGGCCTCAGTGCGTTAACTCAACCGTTCAAACTGCGACTTTGCAGAGCATCCGGTGAGAAGGTTCTTCGTGACTACTCCACGAACGTGGTCCTTATTGAACCTTTGGCTACTTTGGCTGCCATTGAAGACTTCTTATGGTCTCGAGTTAAAAGACACGACAGTTCTCCCTCGTCGACGGTTGCAGCATCTTCCGACTGTGTTTCTTCTCCACCTGCGTCGACTACTCCGACGGCCTCAACATCGACTCCATCAAGGCCTTCTACAAGATCACGTACAGCTGCTGCTGGCAGTGGCGATGCAACGCCGTCTAAAGGCAAGGGAAAGGCTAAAACTTTTGAAGCTCGAGCAACTACTGAAAGTCGGGGTCCTGAAACTCGTAATGCGGCTGCTAGAAGGAGAGCTGCTGCTGCGGCAGCTTCGGCAGCTGTTACAAAACAACGGGCACCCATTGACAGCGAGGTAAGTCTCTTTTTTCGTGTTTTCCCCTGTTGACACGATTTTATGTTCCAGGATGACGATGCAGACGCGTCTCCTGTTGAAGTTGAGGACGCCGTAGCAATGGACGAGGATGATGTCTCTGAGGACGAAGAGGAAGTAAGTTTCTACAGCTTGCTAGATATATTTTTCAAATCTTGCTTATATGATTTTTTTGTGTGCAGCTTTTCGGTGAAGAGCCAGCTGAAGTTTGCGTCGGTGATCGTGTGCATGATGTGCAACTGGGAGATTCTGCGGATGCAGGGGCTGTTGCGACTAGTGCCACCACGAGCGAGACTCCATCTCCTTTCGGCACAGGTGCTGCAGGTTCAAGTACGCCGGTCTTAATAGGAACAGGGGCAAGTGGATCAAGAGCGACCGCTGCTGTTGGAAAGGGTGCTCTTTCGTTTGCTGCGGCTGCAATGGCTGGCGCAAATGCTTCAAAAAACAGCAAAGATCGCAAGTCTCTCGCAGCTATCGCTTCCGCTAACGTGCCTCCAAAGCTGTCTTTCTATCTGGGTGGTAAACTGCTCAACAGGTCCTTGACTATTTTCCAGGCAATCCAAAGACAAACAGCCATGGACGAAGATGACGACGAACGATATGCAGCACCAGATCATCCGTTAGGCCACGGCCGCAGGTTGTGGGACGAGGTTTACACGATAACTTATCAGAGAGCTGATCCGACTGAAAAGACTTCTCCAGGAGGGGTTAGTAGCACTAAGTCTGGGGTGGCCGGTTCCAGTAGTCAGGGGTTAGACGGGTTGCAACAAGCATCACTTTTGGACGCTATATTGCAAGGAGAACTGCCTTGTGACTTAGATAAGTCGAGCTCGACGTATAACATCCTACTGCTGCTCCGGGTGTTGGAAGGTTTGAACAGACTGGCTCCTCGCTTACGTGCTCAAGGGGTGATAGACGCCTTTGCCGAAGGCAAAGTATCAAGTCTCAGCCTCAGTGAGGCATCAACGGGAGGGGCGTCTGTTCTACAGGAAGAGTTCCTTAGCAGCAAACTAACTCCCAAGCTGGCGCGTCAGATGCAAGACGCCCTGGCCCTCTGCAGCGGCGGCTTGCCGGCGTGGTGCCACCAGCTGACTAAAGCGTGTCCGTTTCTCTTCCCGTTCGAGACGAGGAGGCAGTACTTCCATTCGACTGCGTTTGGCCTTTCTCGTGCTCTCCAGCGGTTGCAGCAGCAGCAGAGTGCAGACGGGACATCTTCTGCAAACGAACGTGAGCTTCGAGTTGGCAGGCTACAACGTCAGAAAGTTCGCGTTTCCAGGACGCGGATTCTCGACTCGGCTGCGAAGGTTATGGAGCTTTACTCCGGTCACAAGGCTGTTTTGGAAGTGGAGTACTTCGGGGAGGTTGGCACAGGTCTGGGGCCTACGCTGGAGTTTTACACGCTGGTTAGTCGTGAACTTCAGAAGAACTCTTTGGATCTGTGGCGTACGGAATCTCGTCCGGGCTCGCCTCAGCAAGCAGACACTGAGATGCCTGACATCAACGAGGATGTGTTGGACGAACCGTCAGAGAATCAGGCGAGTGTTCAGCCAGTGGAGCAGAACATTGATTACGTGACCGCTCCGCATGGCTTGTTTCCACGGCCGTGGCACCCCGCGTCGACTGACGCCAGATACACGAAAACAGTGGAACACTTCCGACTGCTTGGGAGAGTCATGGCCAAAGCTTTACAGGATGGACGTCTGTTGGATCTTCCCTTCTCCATCCCCTTTTACAAGCTTGTTCTTGGACAGGTACTTACTCGCTACTCTTTAGTTTCTGCTACTTAACATTGTTTTCGGTTTGACAGGAACTGGACCTTTACGATGTTAAGGCCATTGACCCAGAACTCGGGTCAACATTGGACGAATTGCAAGGTCTGGTCCGCCGTAAGCAATATCTGGAGGGCGTTTGCCATCAGATGTCGGATGGACTGAGATTCCGTGGTTCGAGGATTGAAGACCTTTGCCTCGACTTCACGCTTCCGGGATATCCAGAGTTCCACCTGAAAGAAGGTGGAAACGAGATCATGGTATGGTGACAGATACTTTATACGCGAACGAACTAATCTGTGTGATCAGGTGACTCTGGACAACCTCGAGGAATATGTAGCATTAGTTGTGGATGCAACGGTGAAGATGGGTATTTCCGCACAGATGGAAGCATTACGATCAGGATTTAGTCAGGTAAGCATAGAAGTTCGCCAGGCTTCCTTATTAATGTTCTGTTCATCTGCAGGTGTTTCAGTTAAGCTCATTGCAGATCTTCACTGAGCAGGAACTCGATAATTTACTATGTGGACGGCGAGAACTGTGGACGGTGCGTTTTTTTTCTTTCTTTTTCTCGGTCATAGTATTGATGGGCCTGTCCTTGTTAACAGCCGGAAACTCTGGTGGATCATATCAAGTTTGATCACGGCTATACTTCAGCCAGTCCACCTGTTCGTCATGTAAGAGGATTCTATATACGTCTCGGTGAATTTTAACTCATGTTCTTTTCAGCTATTGGAGATAATGGGCGAGTTCACTGCTGAAGAGCAGCGGGACTTCTTGAGATTTGCCACAGGAGCTCCACGTCTCCCACCCGGGGGTCTAGCTGCCTTGAATCCCAAGCTTACGATCGTGCGTAAGGTGAGCAAGAGATTGACACCATTTCGTTCATCCATTAACACTTCTTTTTCTTTTTCCAGCATCCAACAGGTGGCAATGGATCCTCCGTGGTGTTGGGATCAACTCCGCCAGGTGCCGCGTCTGCCATGGGGACAACTCTTGCGGACGGGGACCTCCCAAGTGTGATGACATGTGCCAACTATCTCAAGCTGCCGCCCTATTCCTCCAGGGTATGTTTTCCTCGCGAAGAACACTTTCTCATGAAGAAAAGCTCTGAAAAAAACCACTCTTTTTTGCAGGAGGTGATGCGAGAAAGGTTGATGTATGCCATCTCCGAAGGACAAGGATCGTTTGATCTCTCCTAGAGGCACGAAAAGAGAGGAGATGGGGGTCTCTCACAGATGGAGCGAGAGGTGTCAAAGGCGGGCGTTGTCGTCCCTCCCGATCGAGCACACACGCATTCTTTTTGGTGAGCACGCTGGAACGAAGGTCAAGTTCTTACAAATCTTGCGCGGCGGTGGGAGAAGTTTTCAGTGAGTACATATAAGACCTGTAAATTCTCTCAGAATCAAGGGTTTAGTCAAGGTTTTAGTCAACAGAACATAGTCGTCTTTTCAGTCAACGGTTTATTGATAGTGATTAAATTGATAGTGAATCGTCTTTTTCACGTGACTGTAATGAGCTGGCCAATCCGCCGCGTGTCATACTCTTGATGGTACACGTGTCACGCGCGATGGTGAGGGAATATTTTGCCTTTGCCCTCCTCTCACCGCCATAGCCGCGGCGAGGCGAGACGACGAAGCTGGGGCAATCGACAATGCTGCTCAGGACCTCCTCCACGCCGGCGCTTGGATCCTGCGATCTCGCGGAAGCAGTGGAAGGTGAGAGGGCTAGGATCGCTGGATTCGCGTCACCGGCGGCGAGCTCTTGCTGCTCTAGCCGGGAGCTCGATCGCGCGCTCTCGGTCAGGAGGATCCAGTCGGAGAGCGATCTCTCGGCAGTGAGATCCCTGGGGCCGCCATGCATTTCGGCGAATACTGGCGATAGCGGCGGCCATGGCCGCCTCCGCAATGGCTCTCGAAGATCAATGCCGCCGCTCAAGCGCCACTCCTCGCTCCCCGCTGGGGCCGGTTCCGCGCTGGATTCCTTCTTGGACGAGTTGAAAGCGCCAGTGCCAGAAGAATCGGTGCTCCTTGGGAGCGACTGTGAAGAAGAACGATGTAGCATCTCTGGGTGCTTTGGAGGGAATGGAGGATCGTCATTGTCTAGCAGCACCATCAACCATTGGAGCTCACTGGAGCTTCCAGTGAATTCTCTCCAGGATTTCAACGAGCTCCATGCAATGTCCATCGCGGGAGGATTTGGAATTGGTGGTGGTGGTGGGCTTGGAACCATCACCGGCGGTGGTGGCGGTGGTGGCAACCGCGATCGCCCATACAGCATGGACGCTCACTACCGGCGGCTACTCGCGGAAGATCCGGGCAATTCTCTCTTGCTCAGGAACTATGCTAGATATTTGTACGAGGTACGTATGGTCCCAAGATTTTTTCTTCTCTCTCCGCGTGATTAGCTTCTAAGCTTCTCGTTATTTCCAGAAGCGAGATCTTCCAAGAGCCGAGGAGCTGTACGAGCGAGCCATCCTTGCGAGCCCCGACGATGCAGAGCTCCGCGCCCAGTATGCTAGACTCATCTGGGAGTTTCGGAGGGACGAGGAGCGAGCTGCGAGTTACTTCGAGCAAGCTGCCCAGGCCTCGCCAGACGACTGGTAACAAGCTCGAGCTCTGTTTTTGTTTCTCTTTTCTTACGCTGTTCTTCTTTTTCTCTTGTTTGTTCTTCCGCAGCTCCGTGCTGGGTGCTTATGCGGCGTTTATGTGGGACGTTGACGAAGATGAAGAGCCAAAGAACCACGCAATGCCTGTCCATTCTGCCATAGTCTCGGCAGCATAAAGTGGTGGTAGTGTTCTTTGCTATGATCGATCTAATAAATCGTAACTTGGTCTCCAGAGAACTAGCTCAAGTCCGCTTTCTCGCAATGAAAGTCCTGTCCAGAGCTTTCGATCGGTGTCCCGGAGTTTTTCGGGGTTTCTGGTGGAGAAACTCGCGTCCTGGGAGCTTGATCAAGTCTCAGAAGTTGATCGAAGTCTCGAGCTTCCATTTCTGAAAGGCCGCCCTGTCCAGGAGCCTCTTCTTCACCGACAAGAGCAGCGCCTCAAACGCGACGACGTCCGTGATACGCCCCTTGTCTCTGATGCTGGTCAGGAGATCGTTGGCCATGTCGAGCTTATCAATCTTGCAAAGCCCATCGAAGACCAAGCTGTAAGTCACCGCGTTTGGAGTGCAGCCATCCTCCAGCATCCTCTTCACAAGCCGGCACGCCTCCACCATCTTCCCCGCCTTGCACAGCCCGGTCACCAGCACGGTGTAAGTCACAACGTCGGGCTTGCAACCCCGCGACACCATCTTCTCGAGCAGCGCAAAGCCTTTGTCGACGTCCCCGCACCGGCACAGCCCGTCGATGATGGTGCTGTAAGTCACCACGTCCGGCGCACAGCCATGCTCGAGCATGCTGCTCAGGAGCTCGCGAGCTCGGTCCAGATCCTGGGCCTTGCAGTAGCCGTCCACCAGAGTATTGAAAGCCACCACGCTCGCGCAGCAGTCCTTCCGCCCGATCATCTCCTGGAGCAGCTCGTCGGCCTTGCGGAGGTTGGACGACTTGCAAAGCCCGTTGATGAGGATGCTGTACGTGAAAGTGTCCGGCGAGCAGCCAGCGCGCTGCTTCATCTCCTCGAGAAAGCCGTAAGCGCGGTCGATCTCCCCGGACTTGCAGAAGCCGTGGATGATTGCGTTGTAAGTCTGGGTATCCGGCGTGGTGGTCATTCCTTGCATCACAAGCACGGCCTCTCCACTCCGGCCAGCGCTCGAGAGCCCGTTGATGAGAGTGTTGTAAGTGACGAGGTTTGCAGCGAAGCCACTCCTTTCCATCTCGTCGAGGACTTGCTGGGCTTCGTCGAGCCTCCCGGCCTTGCAGAGACCGGCTATCAGTGTGTTGAAAGTCACCACGTCCGGCTTGCAAGCTCCATCTTTCATGTTCTTGACGACCTCCATCGCCTCTGGAACTTTGCCCGACTTACACAGCGCGTGGACGAAGAAGTTGTACATGGAAGGAGTGGGAGCCATGCCTGGCTGCTGCTCCATCTCGCGCAGCAAATCCATGGCGGCCTGGAGCTCCCCGGCCAGGCAGTGCGCTCGGACGAGAACAAAGTACGTGTAGTTGTCGAAGAGTGGCGGCGATGGAGGAGACGAAGAGGAGCTTGCCACCGCCATTTCTTCCTTGTAGATCCTGAAAGCCTCCCTGTGTCTACCGCCAGAGACTAGAGCCTCGAGGAGCTTGTTGTAAGTGAAACTGGTGTGGGAGAAGCCCACCTCCGGCCTGGCCACGAATCGGAAGAAGACGCTCGCTAGATCGGCCTCTTTCTTGAGCTGTTCCAGCACGCCCGCGACGAGCCTGGGGCTGCGGAGGACGCGCGCGCAGCCGTTGCTCTGCCGGCCCCATTCCAGCAGCCGCTGCTCGTTCTTGTGCGATCGGAGGAGGCGCACGAGCTGGACTGTGGCGATTGGGATGCTGGGAGGGAGCATGGCGCTGGGATCAGCGGAGAATCATACCTGGTGGGAATCGCCATGCGCTAGAACCCTAGAAATTCTTACATGAATTGCTTGGGAAAAATTACATTCTTTCTTCCTTTAAGCGTTAAATGCTGGGTAGAGCAAAGGCTGGAAATGATCTAGCGACGAATTCTTTGTGTCGATCACTCCACTGTTTCACTGCAAGGAAAGAAGAAGAAGAACCAACGCGATCAAACCAAAATCCTCAAAAGAAACATGACAAGAAAGAGTTTTTAGAACCTGCTTCATCGTTGCTCTTTGGCTCTTTAACAGTGGCCGCTCTTTCGATCAGCTTGGGCACTAGAACCAAGATGGTTTGAGCATGGTGAAGAGGAAAACCAAGCCATACATACCATTCTTTTCGCTGGTGGCATTCACCAATAACGCAGGCAGATTCGTGCTAGTCAGCTGCAAATTTTTCGAGCAAAGTTAGCTCTGATTCTCGTGAAGAGTTCTTTTACCATGGCAGCTAGCTCCGTGGCGAGCGTAGCCGGATCGACGGAGGCCAGGCGCTTGTTGTACGCTGGGGTGTAAGTCTTGCCATCGTAGCCGGCCAGAGAGAGGAAGGCACATTGCTGAGGGCTCAACTTGGTGATCTCTGGAAGAACACCGGAGCTGGAAAAAGGAAACGATGAGATTTTTTTTCCAGGAGAATTCGTTCTTGTCACGTACCTGTCAACCGTGACGAGCACAAGAGCTGCTGGGGAGACAAGCTTTGGCACAGCGGCTTTCTGTGTGTTGAAAAATCTCGTGGCTCCAAAGCTCGCATTCCAGAGAACTCCCTCTTCTGGAAAGACCGATGCTTTGATCACGGCCTCGTTCTTGGAGAGGATGGAGTCCGGTCCAGCGACGATTACATGAGAGTCTTTGATGTGGAGTACGCTGAGCAAAGGAAGAACAAATAAAACAGCTTTTGGAGTGAGAATTTTGCTGCAAGCAAACCTGAGAGACGACCATACCGAGCTGTTAGAGGCAGAGCTCCACTCGCAACGATTGCAGGAGCAGCAAGAGCGGCGATTGCGTCTTTCAGAGCCTTCTCATCGGCGAAAGCTTTTCCACCAACGATCAAGGCCGAGCGATCGTAGTCCGCAGCAATGAAAGGAGTGTTCTCTGGGAGCTCCAACGCTTTGGTCCTGAAGTGATGTTTTCCATAAGCAAATGAAGAGAAAAAACTGATCTTTCTTAGCTTAACTTACTTGTGTGCGGATGCAACGTAGATGGAAAGCGCAGAGTCTCCCCTTTCAACAGTGGAGCACAGTGTGTTTCTCAAAATCCCCGCAGCCGAAGGATTGTCACAGACTGCTCGAACTTTAACATGCTTGGACGATGCTCCAATGGAACCATCTTGCACAAACAGCTTGCTGCAAGAGGAAAGGTGTTGAGCCACCTAGCACACGATCGTTCCAGCAAGGTTGGAGCAAACAATGAAAGCAAAAATCAAAGAAAGATCCTCTTTGGTACCTCCTTGAATAGCTTGTTAAACTGTGCCTTGCTGATCTCACTAGCGCCGGTGGAGTAGCTTCCACGGGCAAAAATCTTGGATCCAGAGATAGAGTCTGGAATAGTGATTCTTGCTAGCTGAAAAGCAAATAACCGAGCAGCCTAGAACTGTGACTTGCCTTGTGGACGAGCACCATGATCCTGGAGCTCCGAGTCCTTGAGATTGTCATACACATCTCCAGACGGTGGGATAGCCTTGGCTGAAAGCGCCCAGTTCAAAGTATAGCTCAATCCAACCCTCTCCCTGGAACACAGTCATCACCGAAAAACCCGATTTTCCCGCTATCAAAAACCTTGGGAAGGCGATCGTCTCCACTCCAGCTTCTTTCATAGCAAGAACCCGCGAAAACTGGAACACAAGATCTTCTCAGCGAGTTCCAAGAACCAAGTTTGCGCTTACCGAGCGGTGTCGCCATACATTCCATACGTAGCGCCTAACCCCACGACTCGCCAGCATCTTCCGAACCCGCAACGGAGGTTATGCCTATTTCTTTTCTTTTTGCCTCTTTCCCTTGAAACGAGTCAGTTTCAATTGCGCAAAAAATTTCCATCCTTTACAAAGTAAAACGGAATGGACCTGAGGTTAGAGCTCCTTTGTTCGGGGAAAATTGTTGCTGGTTGTTGTTTTGATCACTTTCTTCTGGTGGGACTGCTCCAGGACCTGCTTGGTTTTTTCCAGGACTCCAAAGAAAATGGAGCCTCCGATGCCAATCCACATCACTCGCGGACCGATTCCCTGCGTAAATAGTTTGTTTTCTAACTCCAAGAAGCATTAGAGCTTACTTTGGTGAGTGCTCCAGCTCCTTCTTCTTGGACGATCTTCTGGACGCAATCGACTATGCCTTTGTATGCGTTTGATTTTCCCTGGAGGATTTGCAAAGTCCATGATTTCAAGTCCTTGAAGTCGCCGAAAAGCTTACCTGGATCATGAGGCGTGTTTTGATAACGTCCAGGGGCGTAGTCAAGGCACCCGTTAATGCCCCTGGAAAGACGTCTCAGAACAAAAAAGTAGAAGGAAACACGAAAGATCTTGCTCACCAGCAAAGGCTCCGACAAGAGCTGTTTCGGAGTCATAGAGATCTCGTCTGGCCTGAGAGACAACAACGAAAGATTAAGCTGCTTAACTCGTAACTCATAAGTAATTTACCATCTTTTTGTAGCCGATCTTAAGTTGCTCGTAAATGCAAAACTGGATCGCGTCGAAAGGCAGGTCTCGCAACAAGAAGGAACCAAATCCCTGCACCGGGGAACCACAGTTTTCTTATGATAGCGACTTCAATCGTAAAATATTAAATATTTTACCGCATAGAGGCCCCGGAAACCTTCGTTGCTCACAATACTCCGGACAGCTATGTGAGCCCTTGGAAACTCACGAGTTTGCATCCTTTGTTTCACCACCTGAGATGTAAACGAAGAAGAAAATATTGGAAAGATTGATTTCTTCGCGTTACCTCGGTGGGCACACGGACGAGCGACGCTGCAAGTCCTCCGGTAGCACCAGCAGTCTGTGGAGGAGGAAAACTTGAGAGGTAAAAGAAGAAGCAAGCTTGCAAGCTTACCAAGTGAGCGATGGAACTTAAATGATCTGGAAGGCATTCTTCCAGCTTCCGTTTCACAGGCTCGTAAACTCCAACAAAAATCGCGGACGCCCTGAAGAAAACCACGAAGCCAAATCATTCCAGTTTTCCAGTAAAGATTTTCTTACGGTAGAACTCCCAGGAGATTCCCTGCTAAACCCGAATACAGGCCTTTTAGCACGATCTTCCCGCTCGTTCGAGCAGCCTGTTTGGTACATGCATTGAATGAAAAGAGAAAAAAAGTAAGGCATGTAGGAGTGAAGTAGAAAAAAAAACAAAGAGATTAGAGCTTTCCTGCAGTCGAGTTTTGATAGTGTCAATCGGATAGAGCACGGTTTCAACGACAACTCCAGCAGTGGCTCCAGCAATCGCTCCCTCTTTTCAAAGAGAGAAAAATATAAAGGTAAACGAAGGATTGAAAAAAAAAGAGCTTCACACACCTATGATAACTTGAGCGAAATTGATTTGCTTTCTCGAAGGAATCGCGGTCGTGGCTGCTCCAGCGCGCGTTTCGATAGCTGGAAACACAAAACCAGAATTAGAGCTCCTTCTCGGCCGTCGAGCACTCACATTTCGATTCTTCCATGGCGTCTTGGATAATCCAAGGCGCGCCGCTCCAATGCCCCAATCCTGTGAAGCGCCGGGCCCGGATTTGTCACGGATTGACCTAAAATCCGTGAGAGAGGGAATGGAAGCGCGCAAGAGCGCGCACGGGGAGTCCGCGAAGAGAACCAAGCCCTTGTGGTTTTGGGTTTTAAACAGATGGGGTAAAGATTCAACGGATATGCCGCTCTCATTTTAGGGTTCCTTCGATCGATCGAATGGTGCGCCAGTGCGAGCACTGCGGGGAGAGGCGCCAGGCGCTGCGACGGCCAAAGACTGGACACAAGGTGAAATTTCGATCATATTTCTCGCCAAGGTGTTGATTGCGAGGCGATCGTCCAGGTTTGCCGAGAATGCTTCTTTCAATTGCTCGAGGATGAAGTTCACGAGACGATCACGCAAAATCAGCTGTTCAAGAAGGGGGAGAGGGTCGCAATCGCAGCTTCTGGCGGCAAAGGTAGAGAGTTTTAGTCCATCTTTTCTAGCTCACTGTTTATTCCTTCTTCTAGATTCTACTGTGCTTGCGCACATTCTCTCGGAGCTTAATACGAGGCACGACTATGGACTGGATCTCTTCTTGTTGTCCATCGACGAGGGAATTTCCGGGTATCGGGATGACTCCCTCGAGACTGTCAAGCGAAACGAAGTCCAGGTAGATTTTCACCATGTCCATTTTTTCTTGCGTTCTTACGTAAGTTTCTTTTGTTCTTTTGTTTTGCTCTCTCTTGCAGTATGGCATTCCTCTGAAGGTCTTGTCCTACAAAGAGCTTTACGGGTGGACCATGGATGAAATCGTCAAAGAGATTGGACGCAAGAACAACTGCACCTTCTGCGGTGTATTCCGGCGACAGGTAGATCCTTTTTTGTTTTTCTATCTCTCTCTCTCTCTCTCTCCAAAGCTACAGAGACTTGGCTCGTTTTTTCGCAGGCCTTGGACAGAGGAGCGGCTCTGATGAAGGCTGACAAAATGGCAACCGGGCACAACGCGGATGATATGGCTGAGACAATTTTGCTCAATCTGTTACGAGGCGACATTGCTCGGTATGTTTAGCAGCTCCACTTTCGTTCCGTTTTCTCGTTCATTCCAAGAGAACTTGACTATTGCCAGGACAGCTTAAGTCGATGTACCGCTATAATGACAGGTGAAGAGGGTGCATTACCACGGTGCAAGCCTTTCAAGTACACATACGAGAAAGAGATCGTCATGTATGCGTACTTCAAGAAGCTTGACTATTTCTCTACAGAATGTGAGGATTTTCCTTCAGCAGTAGTTCGAAAGTAACCAGCGTACTTTGGCTTGCAGGTATTTACTCGCCGAACGCCTACCGAGGGTATGCCCGAGACTTTATCAAGGACTTGGAGGCTATCAGGTCATGGACTTTACCATTTTTCCTTTGTCACTGCTCACTCTGGACTATTCAGACCTCGGGCGATAGTTGACATAATTAAGTCTGGAGAGGACTTTAGAATTTCATCCACTGCTAGGATGCCAGTCCAAGGCGTTTGCTCTCGGTGTGGATACATTTCTAGCCAGGTAAGTGTCTTTTTTTTCCTTCTTTCAAGCAACTATCTATATCACGCTTTAAAATTTTCGCAGAAACTATGCAAGGCATGTGTACTGCTCGATGGTTTAAATCGCGGACTTCCAAGGCTGGGCATTAGCAGAACTCGAGGCATCAAGAGTACAAAGGGCGTCGCAGACATTGACGAGAAATCAACGGTGGCGGAGGCTGGTGGCAACGGATTTTCCAAAAAACTAAGCCTGGAATTCTGAGAGTCATGTGACGGGAGGTACGTACTTTGTAAATCTCGGACTTCTATACTCTTTCTACTTGGTCATGTTGATTGCAGTGCAAACTAGTGAAAACTAAGAAGAAGAAGATGAAGAAGCACGACGCAGCTTTGATCGTCCGGATCGAAATCGATGACAAACCAATCTAGAGACGTGATCCTCGCATCCAAAATGACGATGATGAAATCAAACGGACAGAGCCGAGAGGAAGCTAGGATTGAATCGTATCGTCCTAGAGTTCATCATCAAGCACACCAGGAAAAAAGGAGAGAAAAAAAACGATCTTGTGAAAGTCCTTTGGCGATGGTGGCGATGGTGGCCAGCGATTGACGAAGATGGGCGAAGGAAAAATGGCGTCGGGGGTTCGAATCCCAGTCGCGAGAGAAAGTATGCTATTTTAATATTTTCAGTGTGTAGAGTGAAGTGTGTGTAGTAGCATGGACCGTTTCCAGAGTGAGCCCTCCCTTGGTAGTACTTTGATGAGAGAGAGAAAGAGGAGTTCTAGCGCGCCTGGATCATTCGCTATAGCTCGCCCCCACGCCGCGTGATGATTGAGGACGATGATTCTTGCTGCTAGATCGCATGGCGCGGCGTGGCATTCTTTGGCGCCGGCGCGAGCGCCGCTAGCGACAAATGTAGATTGAGCTTGTTCTTCCTCTCCTCGCTCTTCTTTCTTCGATGCGCCCGCTCGCCGCCGCCGCCGGGGCGATCGCCCGGGGCTGGATTAGGTCTGCTGCCTCGCATCTTTCTTTCGTCCTCCTCGCAAGGTTTTAGGCGAGCGGAATTTCGGAGAGCGATGGGAGGAGAGCTCCTGGCGTGATGGCACGGGGCAATGGATCGGTCGTAGCAGCGGCGTCTCTAGACATAGAATGGATGATCCTCTCCTTTTTGTGACGAGCAGGAATAGCAGCGATGACGATTGCGAAGATCCGGCGCCTTTCTTCCACGGGGCCGGTTGCGCGATTGGTCTGGATTGCCGCCTATCTCAGCGTCACGCTCGCGGCTCTCATGTCGACCTATTTCTTCCCAGCGCTCCATTCCCTGCTCCTGGCCAGCAAGGAGCAGCGATTTCCAGCCGCGATTGGGGATCTTGGCGGGGCGCAGCAGCAGCAAATTCATGGCCGCGATCCCATGAAGTGGACGTGGGAGGAGGCTCCTCTCCATTTCTTTCGAGGAACAAAGCAGGATTCGAGCTCCAGTCTTGACAAGAAGGTAAGCTAAACGAAATTTGGTTGTGCTTGTTCTTGATTAAAAGTTTCTCTCTTTGTTTTGCCTTTTGTGTGCTGGTTGGATGGATTTTAGCTGTGGAAGCACCCACCAAACCGGGGATTTGTGCCTTGCGTGTTGCCGAGCCGGAAGTATAAAGGTTTGTGTCAATCAATTCCAATTGTTTAAAGAAGCACGAGTTGATGGTGGGGGGTCTTTGTTTTTATTGTGCACTCGCAGCTAGCAAGGGGCCATCAAGAGGCTTCTTGGTCGTCCAGAGCAATGGGGGATTGAATCAGATGCGCGCAGGGGTAATGTCATATTGCTGGGAACTGGTCACTTGTTTTGACAGCTTTGTTTTTTCATGCCAGATTTGTGACATGGTAGCAGTAGCGAGAATTTTGAACGCAACCCTCGTCATCCCGGAGCTGGACAAGCGTTCCTTTTGGCAGGATTCTAGGTGAGGGAAAATTTTCGTGCTTGACTAGTGCTTCAAGAACGCGTCCACGAATTTTCTTTTTTGGTTTCGTGCAGCAAATTTTCAGACATCTTTAATGAGGACTACTTCATAGAGGCACTAGAGCAGGATGTAGATATCGTCAGGAAGCTGCCCAAGGAGGTTGCCGACCTTCCGAAGTCTCGCAAGCAGTTTAGGAGCTGGTCCAACGTGAAGTATTACGAGGAAGAAATTGCTCCCTTGTTCGACGAATACCAGGTATGCTTCTCATTCAATCAACCAAACCGGTTCCGCAACCTCTGTTCAATCCAGGTTATTCGTGCGGTGAAGTCGGACTCGCGGCTAGCGAACAACGGTTTGCCGGCTGACATACAAAAGCTCCGGTGTCGAGTTCACTATGACGCGCTTCGTTTCTCCTCTCGCATAGAGGAATTCGGAAAGGCAGGCTGAGTCGAGTTTGCTAGATTGTGATCTAAGTCGTGTGCTGTCGAGCAGATGCTCGTGGACAGGATGAGGATGCACGGACCGTATATTGCTTTGCATCTTCGCTACGAGAAGGATATGCTAGCCTTCAGCGGCTGTACGCATGGGCTTACTCAAGACGAGTCAGATGAGCTTGCAGATATACGGTACGATTAAGAATTCTCCTTTTCGTGAGAAAATTGTTTTAATCCGGCATTTTTGCCCCAGGGAGAGCACAGCCCATTGGAAGGTAAAGATTATAAATGCCACGGAGCAGCGAGCCAAGGGCTTCTGTCCTTTAACACCCAAAGAAGTTGGCATTTTCTTGCAAGCGCTAGGATACCCTTCGGCGACCCGAATTTACGTTGCGGCAGGAGAGATATATGGTGGGAACGAGCGAATGCAGGAGCTACAGGCACGGTTTCCAAACTTGATGAGAAAGGTAATCTACATTCTTGCGTTTTCTTTTTAGTTCTTCCTGTGTTCTTATATATATTTTTTGTGGAATAGGAAACAGTTGCTACGCCGGCCGCGCTCGCACAATTCTCGAGGCATGCATCGCAAATGGCGGCTTTGGACTACATCATGTCAGTCGAGGCTGACGTCTTCGTGCCATCCTACTCGGGAAACATGGCCCGTGCAGTGGAAGGCCACAGGAGGTATCTCGGTCACCGAAAGACGATAATACCAGACAGGCAAGTTGGCCGCGCGTAAAGCTTCTCGTGAGCAAAATCCTTCTGACGGGCTTTGGTGCTTTTTCTCTTTTCCGTGTTTCACCAGGAAAGCGCTGGTCGATCTGATAGGCAAGACCGAAAGTGGTGTGCTCGAGGACTCGGAGCTGTCAAAGAGGATCATAGACATCCACAAGCGCAGGTTTGGATAAAAGATCTCACCACTTGCTACTCCCTCTTTTCGCTTTCGTTCCTGGGCTTTTGATGAAAGCTTTTTCTCTCGTCTCTTTTTTCGTAGGCAAGGCGCTCCTAGGAAACGAAAAGGCCCTGTCGTGGGTAGCAAAGGCAAGGACCGCTTCCGGACCGAGGAAGCGTTCTACACGAATCCTCTCCCGGACTGCCTGTGCAATAAGAACTCCGACGACGACAACGCTAGCTCGCAACAACACACAAACTACACAATCGACGCTGTAAGTAATCACCACCCCCAACTCGAATAGAAGTAAGTGCCAATGTTTTTTGTTCCTTCTCTCTTTCCTTTCGAGAGAGAAACCATTGAAAAGAACAGAGAATTTTGATGATCAATCTCTTCGAACCTTAGCTCTTGTTTGGCGGCCAGGGATAAAATTTAATCGAAAGTTATGATGCACAACCATGGATAGTTTGAGTTTGATTTTTCTTCCATGGTTGGAAGTTTCTTCCAAAATGGAGGCTTGGAGGAATTAAACGTTTGGCAGGACGCGCCATTGTGTCCACGTGGCGTGCTCTCACTGGACTGCCACTTCATGAGCTCGAGGGTTTGGTTTTTTCTCATTCAAACACGCGCATTTTTTTGTTATGGAAGTCTTCCATCGTATCGCAGCGCCACAGGGAGGTGAGCGAAGGGACTGGCGCATCGATTTGTCAGGAATTCCATGTCGCGAGGAGCGCTAATCGAGGCGATCGCCGTGTCTAGTTGCGTGATTCACAGCATTGCTGTCGTCGCCGACGCTGGTGAGTGATCTGTGGCGCAATATAAGGCGGTGCTGGGATCTGGGAGTGGCATTCTGGGGGAATTGGCATGGGATCGGCCGAGAATGGGCAGGATCATCACGAGGAGCTGGAGGCTAGGGGAAAGAAGCGGAGGAAGGGTTTGCGCCGCCGGCTATGGAGTTGGGCGGTGCTGGCGGCGCTGGTGGCGATCTTCGCAATGAGCGTGACTGGGACGTCTCCTTCGTTTTTCAACTACAGGGCGTACTTCCCGTGCCCTTGGCCGCATCACGTAAGTTCTTTCCAGAGAATGCTGGAAAAATTCTTCTCTTCTTTCATTCTCACTGCAAGAATTTTTTGCGTATAGAATTCGCAGAAGCTCTCTGGAGTTGTGGAAGACTGCCAGTGTGACTACAAAACCGTGGACACCATCAACGAGGAAGTTGTTTTCCCTGCGCTCCAGAGCCTTGTAAAGAAGCCATTCTTTCGATACTTCAAGGTGATCGATCGCTACTTTCGTTGTTCTTCCTTGTTTTTCTTACGTTCTTCTCGTCCCAGGTGAAACTTTGGTGCGATTGCCCGTTCTGGCCGGACGATGGTATGTGCCATCTCCGCGACTGTAGCGTTTGCGAGTGCCCGGAGAACGAGTTCCCCGAGACTTTCAAACGGCCGAGTGGCCAACTTTCGCCAGCGGATCCAAAGTGTCAAGAAGGAAAGCCACAGGCCACTGTGGACAGAACGCTAGACAACCAAGCTTTCCATGGCTGGACCGAAGCTGACAATCCCTGGACGTATGACAACGAAACAGACAATGGTATGTGTAGCACCACTGCTTTCATCTCACTCGCTTTCTTTCCAGCGGAGATGACGTACGTAAATCTCGTGCTGAATCCCGAGAGATACACTGGCTACATCGGTGCATCGGCTCACCGCATCTGGGACACGATCTACAAGATGAACTGTTTCAAAGGTACAAAAGTTCGTTTGTTTACTCAGGTCGCTCCAAATGCTCTGATTGTTTTCTGTTTTGATTTTGATAGACGCGCACAAGGATGTCTGCACGGAGAGGCGGATCCTCTACAAGCTGATATCCGGTTTGCATTCCTCTATCTCTGTCCATATAGCATCCGATTATTTATTGGATGAATCCACAAACCACGTACGTAGTTTCTTTTTTCTTTATTCTAACGCACTTCTCGCATCAAACAGAACGTTTCACACTGGTTTTTGTATTGTTTCTCTCTGCAGTGGGGGCCGAATTACACTCTCCTTCATGAGCGTGTGGTGCAATACCCCGACCGTGTGAAGAACCTCTATTTCGTCTATCTCTTCGTGCTTCGAGCAGTAAACAAGGTAAAGTGTTTTTCTTGTTTCAAAACTTGCCAGAGGTTTTTTATTTCTATCGTGGATTGTCTGACCGAGTAGGCCTCCGCGTTTCTTGCTCAAGCCGAGTACAGCACTGGCAACACGATCGAGGACGCCACAACGCAGTTGCTGATTAAGGACTTGGTCACAAGCCAGCGGCTGCTAAACTTGTGCCCGGTTCCTTTCGACGAGGCTCAGCTGAGAAGCGTGGATGGAGGCGAGCTCAAAAGCCATATCCAAGAGCACTTCCGGAAAATCAGGTTTGATCGTCTTTTCTCTGCGTGTTTTGCGTTGCTTGGCGATCCTGACCATCGTTGTTTTCTTTCTCCGCAGTGCTCTTATGGACTGTGTCGGGTGTGAAAAATGCCGCCTGTGGGGAAAACTCCAGACACTTGGTCTAGGCACCGCCCTCAAGATTTTGTTCTCGGAAGAAACGCCGCATTCGGTATAAACTTCCTTCTTCCTCTCTCTTTTGTTGTCAAGAACATAGAACTTACGCTCTTTTCTTCTTCCTCGCAGCTCAATCTCCAAAGAAACGAAGTGATCGCGTTGATCAATCTCCTCTCTAGACTGTCAGAGTCTCTAAAGTTTGTGAACGATTCGCTACTCCAGAACAAAGTCAAGGGCCTGGGCTCGCGCGATATGTGAGCTCTCGCTCCCTCTGGAGCAGCGCGAACGAATTCTAAGAGGACAAGAGAAAAAATTTTGGGCACTACCTAGAACTGGAATTTTATCAAAGCTAACAAATAAACACCGTTAAACTTTTAAACTAGCTCTTAAAGGAAAACGCAATTAACTGCCACGTGTGCCCTAATCGCCCGGGGCCAGGGGTTAGTTGTGGCAAAGCCCTTTCGCTCGAGCAAACTTTCTCGTCTCCGCCGCGATTTCTCCTCCATTTTCTCTGGCGCCTCGCGGATCCAATGTCTCACGTGTAAGTTTTCCATCTAGAACAAGAAAGAAACGCAAGAAAGAGAAGCAAGAAAGAATGAAAGACTTCTGTGACTTTGCCGCAGAACGTATGATAATCTGTGGGAGGACGCAATGCGGGAGCTCGTGTCTGTTTTGAAGCTGGAAGTTCCCACTTACACATTCCAGGGACCTCAGGTAGCTTCCCCTTTCCCTTCGCTACATTCTAGCAGCTTTGCATCGCTCTTTCTCAGTCTTTCTTTCTTTCTTGCCGCAAGAACCTGGTGGACTATTGTCGGATTTACGTCAAGTACTCGAAAGCTTACAAGCTTCTCGAGGAATGCTCCGACATGGTTGTGCTCTCTCATTTCTTTTTCTCTTTGGTTGCGCTGCTAAAGTAAACTCTTTCTAGCTAGTCCATCCTCAAAAACGCATGGACTGCATGAAGACGCTCGAGGCAGTGGTCGGAAGGATACTGGAGATCAAGCACGTAAGTTCGAGGTGTTTTTGGGACGCTAACTTTTCAAAGAGTTGTGATTTTCAGTGGATGGTGCATTTGAACACTGGAAAGGAAGTCATCAATCTTGAAGACACCTTGGTAGAAACGCTTTTTTCTTCTTCATCTCTCTCTCTCTCTTTTCCTTGATCGTTTCCTTTTGCTTTCAGGTGAACATGACGTTGTCTCCAGACACTGTAGAGATCATTCCTCCGCGGCACCTAGTGAATGACAATGCCAAAAATCTCGAAATCCGGGAGAAGTTTCTGGTTCGTTTTTGAGAGGTTTTGTAGTCTCAAAGTCGCTCTTAACCAGCTACTCGCTAGCTGTCCAGCATAAAGTGATGGAGAAGCACCGAGCCGAGAAAGAGCTCGAGGAACAAGCCAGGAAAGAGGCCGAAGAGAAGAGGAGAAAGGAAGGGGAAGAGGCCAAAGCTCTGGAGCAAGTGTTCGAAGAAGAGGAAGAGAAGGAGGAAGTGGTGGATCCATTCAAAGACTTTCCATTCCCGCCGTATACTCCAGAGCAGGCAATCGCGCTATTGCAGGTTAGTGGCTGTTTTCTATGATTTTGTTCTTGAATTAACTTGCATTTTCTTTGATCAAGTGTCTAGGCTAATGAACGGGGGAGGCAAGCACGAGAGCGTGTCAATCAGATGGCAAAAACACGGTCCTTTTCCCTCCCTTGTTTTTTATTTTTTAATCTCTCTCTCTCTCTCTCTCTCTCTCGTTTTTCTTCTGGTTTTGATTTCTCGTTTCTTCTACAGCACTGTGCAAGAAGAAGCTTTGAAGAAGCAACAAGCTGGACACGAACCATTGTCTTCGGAAGCTGCTGCCATTAGAATGCAATCTGCGTATCCTTTTCCATCTATCGAGAGTTATTTTCTTACACGTCTTTTCTTAACTCCACCAAAGTGCTCGAGGCTTTCTCTTTCGCTGCCGAGTCAAGCATGATGCAAACAATGAGATGTCATTACTTAGTACGTAAGGAATTCTTTACCCAGGCAGATACTAATTCTCTTTGCATGCAGATATAAATCCTTTTGCTCGCTCCGCTGCTCAAGACGCGGCTTTTGGACGCCTCAGGGAGATACAGCTCAAGAGACGAAGCATCCAGCTTCTAAACTATGACGAATATCTGGACGCAATGAGGATAGCGAAGGAGCAGCTCATCGACCTCGAGGGCCAAGAGATGAGGGAGATCATCCAAGAGAGCATAAACAAGTGGCTGAACGACCACCGCGACCCGGATACAGGCTTTTTCCCTCCGTTTCCAAAGGCAGCCGATGGAGGCAGCAAGTATATTGTGCAGCCGCCACCCAAGCTCGGCTTCCATGTCGAGGAGAAGAAAGGCAAGAAGGAGGATAAGAAAGAAGGGAAGAAAAAGAAGGCCAAAGGTCCTCCAGTTCCTCCTCATCCAGTTCTTCCAGAAGAAGATCCGGAGAAGCCACCATCCTGTCCGAAGTTTTTCCTTCGGCACGTCCGAGAGTGCCTGGAACTCTACACTCGCAACTGGCACGACAAGGATAACTCTGCCGAGTTAACTCAAAAGCACGACATGGAGATGCTCAAGTCACACCTCCGGCCCATGGTCTTTGAACAGGTAGAGCCGATCTTTACTTCTTTTCTATTCGGTGTTTGACGTTGAGCTCACAGATTCGACTCGAAGTTGACGAAACTACGAGAGCAATCTTAGACAAGGTCAAGCAAAAGATAGTTGCGGAGCTCAAAGCTGCTCGAAAGAAGCAAAAAGGAGACGCGGCCAAGCCCGAGAAGAAAGAAGCCAAGAAGGACGACGCCGACGAGGCGGCGCCACCTCCAAAGAAGAAGCCAAAGAAACTCAAGGACACATCGGCTCAAAGAACTATCGAGTCTTTGTATGCCGAGCTCGCCAAGGCCGGCATCATCCAAGCTTATCCCAAGAGGGACTTCTCCGAGTTCGTGGCAACGGACAGCTTCTTTGGGACCAACTTCGAAATGGATCCCGTTGGATTGGATCCTTCCATGTCTCAGGTATGCTCACAAGTTCCATTTTCTCAAAAAGATTTCTATCGCTGTGACACAGGTGAAGAGGCTGGCTATGGAGTACTGTGTCTTCCCTTTGGTCAGTGACTTCGTCCATGAGCATGCACCTTTCATCAAGTCAGTCCTTCTCTACGGTGGAAGCCTCAATGGGAAGAAGCTCTTGGTAAGCTTTTTCTTCTTTTTCTCCTTGACTGAGCAGTAGTTTCTGTAGGTCCATGCAGCATGTCGAACGGCGGGAGCTACGTACATAAATCTCTCGCCGGAAGTTACAGACGGACAGTATCCAGGAAAACAAGCCACCAAAATGTTGCAAATGGCTTTCAAGATTGCGAGAGTCATGGCACCATCCATAGTTCACGTCGACGGGGTTGAAAAGGTGAAAACTCGTTCAAGTTTTGAGCTTGGATGAAGAAACACCTGTTTTCCCTTGCAGCTTTTTGTCACTGACAAGAAAAAGCTCAAGACTTATGGTTTGAAAGATAAGGCAAACCGATACAAGAAGCCTCTCTTGAAGGAAGTCCAAGGCATTAGGCCAGGCGATCGTGTGATGTTCGTAGGAACATCTTCGAGTCCTCAGGTAATTGTTTTCGTGTCAAACGCAAAAGTTCGGTTTTGATGATCTTTGTTTTACTTCGATCAGGACTCGCCAGGAAAGCCTCCGGCACTGGCCAACTTCTTCAACAAGCGGATCTACGTTCCATATCCCGACCATGGCTGCCGGTCATCGCTTTGGCGAGCTCTGATCGAGAGACACGGTGGTCGCGTCACGGACCGCTTCAACCTCTCCACCATCTCTCACGTCTCCGAGGGCTACAGCTCGGGAATGATCGAGCAGTTTTGCAAGGCGGTCCTGACCGAGAAGCGCAAGCGCAAGGTGAAGAGCAAGCCTCTGGTGATCGACGAGTTCACGACGCTCATCTACGACACGAAACCCGTGGATCCAGAGGTGCATCAAGTACTCAGGGTGAGCAACCTCTCATTCTAGTTCTTCCGAAGTTCTTTCTCATTCTAGTTCTTCCGAGGTTCTTCCAAAGTTCTCATAAAAATCTGGTTTTGCAGGAATGGGCCAAGCCGAAAGCGGTAGATCCAGCCGCTGCGCAAGATCCCAAAGCAGCAAAAGGCGGCAAGAAGAAGTGATGCAAGAGGTTCTTTGTTTCGTATCTCTTTTTTTCTTCTCGATTAGTTACCAAACGATGTTTATTGCGAGAACTTAGCTCTCAAAGTTCTTGTGAGTTTCGCAAAGTTTTTTCCAAGGATAAGATTGTAAAGGCGAGGTTTTTGACCGGGCCGAAGTCAAATCCTTCTGGACAAACGCGCTTGTGAGAGCGCTCCATTTTTTTCTACGTCGCAAGAAAGACGAAGGCTTCCTTTCCATATAAAAAAGTAAGCCTGTTCCTCCAAATCTTTGTCCCTGCCTCGAAGAAAAACCATGGCGATCGCTCCTCGCAGCATTCTCCCCCTCCTCCTCTGCGTTCTCATTGCTTCCTTCCACTCGTCCTCGTCCAGCGACGTCAAATTGGGCTACTGGCTGGCATCGCGCCCAATCGTCTCGTCCGCCAATCTCCACCTCTACACACACCTCACATACGCCTTCGCGCAGCTGGATCCCTCCTTCCAGATCTCCCCCCAGCCCGACGACAATGGCAACATCGCCCAATTCACGCCCGCCGCGCGCGCGCTCAATCCCGCCATCGTCACGCTCATCGCAATCGGCGGCGGCGGATCCAACAGCACCCGCTTCGCGGAGATGGCCGCCGCCCCATCCTCCCGCGCCACATTCATCAACAGCTCCATCGCCCTTGCGCGCGCCAATGGATTCCACGGCCTCGACCTCGACTGGGAGTTCCCCCAGTCCCAGCGCGAGATGTCCGACCTCGCCGCCCTCTGGACCGAGTGGAGGGCCGCCATCCAAGCCGAGGCCACCGCCACGAGCCGCGCGGCACTCCTCCTCACCGCGGCGGTATACTACCGCGCCACGGTACAGAACGTGGGCGCTGGCACCTACCCGGTCGACGCGGTCAACGCAAACCTTGACTGGGTTGGACTCATGGCGTTTGACTACCACGGCGCGTGGAATCCCACCACGGTCGGGCCGCATACCGCGCTGTACAACCCGGACAGTAGCGTCAACACCGACGCCGGCGTCACGTCGTGGCTTGGCCAGGGGCTCCGCGCGGACAGGGCCGTACTTGGGCTGGCCATGTACGGCCGGTCGTGGATCCTGGCCAGTAACGAGTCAACGGGCATTGGTGCCGCGGCGGTAGGGGTGCCGGCCGACAGCACGCCGTTCTTCCGGGACATCGTCAGCTTCATCCGCGACAACAATGCCACCGCGGTGTACGACAACACGACCGTCACGGCCTACTGCTTTGGCGGCGGTGTGTGGATTGGATTCGATAGCCCGGTGTCCATCGCCACCAAGGTGGAGTACCTCAAGAGCAGGGCTTTGAAGGGCTATTTCTTTTGGACGGCGGGCTATGATTCTAGCACCGGGGCTCTCGCCAATGCTGCCTCGGCGACGCTGGATTCACGGTAGCTCTTTCGAGAGGATTGGAAAGATCTTCGATTGATCGATCGATCGCTCATGGATTTGACTTGAGTGTATAGAGACGATTCGGGTAGCTCTTTCGAGAGGATTGGAGAGATCTTTGATTGATCGATAGCTCATGGATTTGAGCGTGTGTAGAGACATTCTTTTACACAAATTCTACTTTGGCTTCTTCTTCTTTGTCTTCGCCATGACCGAAGCTTGGTAACGCTTGGGTGTTTTTGCTGGAGTGCACGTCACTTTCTCCTTCCAATCATCGAGAATTATGCTATGCTCCACTAGAAAAGCTCCACAAATTTACTAAAAGAGCCAAGACTTGATTCATCGTCGTGGAAGTTTTGCTACGCTGTGTAAAAGTCAGCGAAAGTTTCACGAGTTGATCGTGGTGGATCTTCCACTAGTCCATCGGAGAAGACCTCTTACCAGTTGCGTGCGCTGATTTGCTCCTCTCCGGCTATAAATTCTCTCGACACGATCACGATCCAGAAAGTCTAGAGAACGAGATGGAAAGGAGAAGCTTGGCCTCGATCTTCCTCGCTTTCCTCGTTGTCGCCAGTGATCACTACGCTGCAGTCTCGGCATTCCCGGCCCAAGATCCTTGGAGAAAGAATGATCCCTGGAACTGGCACTATTTCCCCAGGAACACCAAGGTGGTGAGGGTGGCCTACTGGCCGGCATACTCCGCCGATCAGTACCCGGCCTCGTCCATCGACTCCACGCTCTTCACGCACCTCAACTACGCCTTCGCCAATCTCAACGCCAGCGACAACACCGTCGTCCCCGACGATGCCGCGCGGATCGCCGCCTTCTCGCGCACCGTCAAGTCCCGCAACCCGTCGCTCAAGACGCTCCTCTCCATCGGCGGCGGTGGAGCCGATCCAAAGCCCTTCTCCGCAATGGCGTCCAAGGCCTCGTCCCGCACGGCATTCATCTGGAGCTCCATCGCGCTGGCGCGATCAAACGCCTTCGATGGGCTGGATCTCGACTGGGAATTCCCGCAGAACCAGACCGACATGGACAACCTGGGCACCCTCTTCGCCGAGTGGAGATTCGCCGCGGCCGCGGAGGCCGGCCACTCGGGCCGTCCGCGCCTGCTGCTTACCGCCGCGGTATACTACTCGGGCACCATCAGGTACGAACTCACACCGCGCGGTACCGCAAGTTACGCATTGACTGCTCTTTGACTTTTTCCAGGTTCGTGGGAGGAGGAACGTACCCCACGAAATCGATCAACGCCAACCTTGACTGGGTCGGGCTCATGGCGTTTGACTACCACGGCAGCTGGGAGCCGACTGTGACCGGCGCCCATACCGCGCTGTACGACCCGAAGAGTGACGTCAACACCGCCGCCGGTGTCGCGCGGTGGATGGCGGCGGGGCTGAGGCCGGACAAGGGAGTGCTCGGCCTGGCAATGTATGGCCACTCGTGGATTCTCAGTGACCCCAGCGCCAAGGCTGGAATCGGGGCCCCGGCAAAGAGTCCCGGGCCGGGCGACGCGACGCCAGTGTTTGCCGGCATCGTGGCGACTGTTAGCGGCGACGACAAGGCGACGGTGGTGTATGACAATGTGACCGTCACGGCCTACGCGCAAGTTGGAAGCTTGTGGATTGGATTCGACAACGAGGAATCCATCCGGAACAAGGTGGGCTTCTTGCGCAGCAAAGGGATGAGAGGATACTTCTTCTGGACGGCCAGTTTCGATAGCGGCAATGGGACGCTCTCTCGCGCGGGTTTGTCTTTCTCCTTTTGTTTGTTCTTGATCCTTTGCTCATCGTTTGCGCTTGTCTTTTACTTTAGCTGCGGCAGCGCTGGGACACTGAGATCCAAGACGAAAGAGGAGGAAAACGAGAGAGATTTTGCTCATGAGCTTGTAGAAATTACCATTGAGGAAGATGATGGAATAAAGTATCTACTGTGAGATTCTAGGGTTTTAGGGTTCCAAGGGAGGGAAGATGATCGATTGTAGTGCCGCGCCCGTGGCGGTCTTCTTGGCCGTCTTGATCCTGCAGCTCGCAATGCAATTCCTCCACCAGGTGTGTGGCAATCGCTCTGTTGTTGTGTCTGTCCAATGCGGCGATTGTTTTGCTCCAGGCGAGCAAATCGAGCCAGCAAGAAGCTAGGGTCGTGTCTGAGATAAGGAGTTTGCTTCGGGAAGCGAATGCCTTGGCAGGGTAAGATCTTTCGCTGCGATTTTTCTTGAGCGGGAATTTTGTTTTTTGTTGCTTGGAGCTCAGGCCATCGACCTTCGCTCAATCTGCCAAGCTAAGGCGCGCGGCCAATGCGAAAGAGAAGGAGCTCTCGCAGAGTAAGATCAAGGGAATGTGATCGAGTCGCTCATACAGTGAAATCGTTTTTTCTACCAGTAAGGATAGAGGCCAAGGGAAAGAATGCGTCGACAAAATTGGTGCTCTTCGTCGTGAAGGTATGGAGTGCTTGCGAAGATTTTGCTTAGCTCCAACACTGCTTTTCAGGCCTGCTTCTACTGCGCTTTTGTCTGGTGGTTTTGGCAAACTCCCGTGGCATCGGTACCAGCGCATCTCGTGCAACCCTTTGGTTCGTATCTTGCTTTGCTTACTTTGCTTCTTCACTCTCGGCTTTTGTAGGAAAAGTTTTGAGTTTCCCATCCAAGGTTTCGGAGGCACAGTCGCTTGTACAGGTCTGGAAAAGTCTGTGGAGAAAGAAATCTAAAACCATTGATGTTCTGCAGATTGGTATTCTCCCCTGGCTTGTGCTAAGCACACGCGTGAGCTTGTCTATAGCGAACGCTGTTCTCAAGTAACGGTGTCAAGAGGTGTATAAATTTCGGAAGAACATAGAAGAAAAAATCAGCTTTTCTGATGATCAGCTTACTGGCTTTCGAACTAAAACGCAACGCACTTGTCAGGCTCACCCGTGACGAAGTCCACCACGACAGTCTCAGTGATGTTACACGGCAGCACATCTTGCCTCAGGCTCGCTCCGGCAGCTTTCAGCCCCTTCAGCGACGCTACCTGGTTGAAGAGGTTGATGACAGGGAGCTTGGAAGCCGACGGTAGTCTTTGCAGAGGCAGCAGCTTCCAGAAATCGTCTGTCATCAGTGGCACCTCAAAGTCGCTCCTCTTGTGCTCCACAACGTTGTCCGACGAGTTGATGTGCGCGCCGGGCTCCATATGGTTCGTGGAGAAGCTGGTCTGGTTGGGAAAGTTGGGATACAGGGTCACATATCCTCGCAGGTACATCATATCAATGAGGAACTTCTTCCAGGAGGCTTGCCACCCGTTTGTCCGCGAGCGTGGGATCTGCACGGGATTTTGCTTCGCATCTGCCGTGTACCGGGTCCCCATGTAGTGGTAGAACTCTCGCCAGTGCCGTGGGAAGAAGAGAGCGCCCCAGCTGCAGGGGAGCTGATGCAAGTATGGTGTGTTGGGATAGATCGCCTTGAAGAAGTCAGTGGCATTCCAGCGTGGTCGCTCCTTCACGACTTCCACAACTCTCGGTGTGTACAGGGAGATGGAGTTGAGCTCGGCCACCTCTGCGGTGCTGTAGTGGTAGACGAGGACTGCGTACTTGAGCCACATGAAGTAGAATGGCGAGACTTCGATGTCATCCTCGAGCAGGAGGCCGAAGTCATCGTCCGAGGCCGGATACCAGCTTTCGCTCACGGCCCGTATGAGTCCGCCTTGGATTATCCTGCGGCGGATGGTGACTTCGCCGTGTGGCCACTCGAAGCTGTGGACGATCTTCAGCGTTTCCGCGTCGACCGCACTGTCAATGCTGAAAGTTAGATGGATCTCGTCGCCGACGTAGTATGCACTGGCGAGTGCTCCCAGCAGACGCTTCAGCGAGCGAGGTCTGTTTTGCGTGATGATGCTTATCGAGATTCTCATCGTGTTCCATTCTGTAGGTATAGCAAGTCAGTGAAAGTTCCCGAGAAGCTTAAGTAGCTTACGTTGAAGAGCGGATGTTTTCACGTCGGCTATCCACAGTGCATGTTCGATGGCGCGTCGGGGAAGCTGTAAGACGGTGGTGTTTGCTTGGAAAGCAGCCAAAGCTATGGCATCACGGACGTCGGGTACCAAGTCTGCGACACTGATAATAATCGCCGGTGAGTGAATTCTTATCAAGCCTTTCATGGCTGCGAGGACCTCATGAAAGACCTGCGTGTTGGAATTTCCAGACGAGACGAAACTGATGTCCAAGTCGAACATCTTGAACCGGCGGTCGTGGCAACTGTTTGACGACCACCCGAGCATGAGAGCCGCTTCTTCGCAGGGACAGTAAGGTCCTCCCGACACTACGACGTAGGCCTTCTTTCCTGGGATGCTCCGGAAGCGCAGAATAAGTGGAGCCAGGTCCAGGATCTCTCCCAGGGAATGCGCATAGAAGAAAACATCACACTGCTGTGGAAACATCGCGGCCCACTGTGTCACGTAGCCGCGGGTCAGTGCGCTCCACCACTGGCGATCACGGAGCTGGACTATATCCTTGTGGATGACGGTGGTCTCGGAGACGTAAGCCAGGCGGTGCTCGCTATCACCCCAAGTATCTCGGTCGTCCGGATCGATTGGAACCACGTAAGAATGGACTCCAAGGTACTTTTGCAGCTGGTAACTAACCATCAACGCTCGGGTTAGCCGATGGAATTCACAGGGCAGAGTTCACCTTAAATGAAGATCTTCTCCGGTGCTGAAAGTCAGTGGGGACTCGAGAAAGAGGGCTTTGACGAGGTTCGCTGGAAGGAACCAGGAGCTTGACAGGAAATCAACCTGCAGTATCCGGTCAACAATGATTCTATAGGCGGGGTCGGGGATATAGAGTCCGGCTTCCTTGGACCCGGGTTTCCGGTAGCTCGGGAAGCTGAAGTCCTTTTGCCTGAAGGGAAGGATACGTCCGATGCTTCCGAGAAGTGAATTGTGGTACCGGACCGTGCCCGCTATGTACGAGAAAATCTCCAGGACTTTCTTACCGGGGATCATATCATCGTCCAGGATATACACAAAGTTGGCGCCTTCCGCTTGCAAAGCCAGCTGAAACCTTCCGAAGTACTTGAAGTCGTACGTGGAGGTCATGAAGTGGATCCGGGAATCGTTGTAGGCCTCGACAGTGCTCCTCAGGTGGCTCTCGTTCGGGCTTCCAAACGCGAGCACCCACAAGCTGTGGAAAGGCAGCGTCTGGCGGAGCAGCGAATCCAGTTGCGAGCACAGTGTTCTCCGCTTGAAGTGGTTAAGGATGACAGTGACCTTGGGCCTGGTCCGCGACGATGACGACGGCAAGATCATGAGCTCGGACAGTGTCTCGCATCCCCGGGTGGAGTTTTGGAAGGCGACAATCTCCTCGTAGAGCTGCGTCTTGATCCGGACCAGGTTGGTATCGTTTGATACTTTCTGCGCGAAGCTTATCTCCTCGTAAACGCACAGGCTCTTCTTCAAATCCTCTGTGCCGCCGCCGAGCTGCTGCTCCGGGAAGAATTTCTTGGTGAGCTTCGAGCTCCATGCACTCCGCGGTAAGTCCATGGCCGAGGGGATCATAAAGTAGAGCAGGAATGTGGCATACGCCGCGAACACGAACTGGAGGCATGTCAATCCGGCGGTGACTTTGAAGCTCCTGGCAGCAACCGGCTTGCGAGCTTTACCTTGGAACTCCGCGGCCAGCAAGCAGCTGTCGATGGTATGCTCTCTCCCGGCGCTAAAGTTTGCTCCAGCCATGGTTCATATCTCCCTTCTTCTCACTAAAAGGGGGAACTTACAGGAGCTTGCGGAGGAGATCTACCGGCATCCTGCATTGCGATTGTTCGAGCTCGCGCGCTTGGCTGCTCGAGTGGCCTCTCCGGATCTTCTCCAAGGCAAGTGATGTCTGTTACCTAAGGAACGGGACTTTATCGTTATAAAGCGATGGTTTTCATGCAGGGACAAGAAAAGCAACCAGGCCACAGGCCGGAAGAACAAAAAAAAATGCGTTTTCTCGTTCTCCCGAGACGGAAGAAGCGGTGGAACACACTTGAGTTGCTCAAAACTGAAGCACAGGCTGCCGTGTATCAGGGGTTTGGCATTTTACTTCGTGTTTGGTCACGGATCTGACGATTCCATATTGCTTTCTCATGTGACGCCACAGAGAGAGACGCGTTTGTTCTTACTCCGGCACTGAGAGAGACGCGTTTGTGCTTGCTCCGGCACTGAGAGAGACGCGTTTGTTCTTGCTCCGGCACCGAGAGAGACAGAGATGGAGGTCGGGAGCTCGAATCGCTTGTACGCTCGGAGAAAGAAGGTCGCGGGCTCGAATCCCGCGCGGGGCAAGTTGGTTGTCGGGGCCGAGACGCTCGGGGGTGGAAGCGAGAAGATGAGATGGTGGTCGACTTTTCATGGAGGGGGACGTCGCCGCCGCCGCCGCCGCCACAAACGAGAGCGCGGCACTGGATCTAAGAGCACAAGAGGAGCCACCGGGGAGGAGCGAAGAGGCGGCGGCGATTGAGCCGGCGGAATCGGAGATTGATTGTCGGGAGGCGATCGCAGCTCCGACGCTCAAGGCGCCTCCACCATCGCCGGAAGTGGACACGGCCATGGCGGCTGGGGACTCCGAGAGGCAACCAAAGCAGCAGCGCCACCACCACCTTCGATCCGGATCCGCCAAAAACATGGCCTGGCACTCGGTGCTGGAGCGGTCGCTCTCGTCCACAATGGCGCCGCCGGATCCAAAGAGGTCGAGGGGCGCGGCGGTGGAGGAGCCCGAGGAGGAGGAGGCGGAGGGGCGGCGGAGCAAGTGCTCGACGTGGAAGCGGCGGTCGTGCAAATGCCTGGTGGCGTTCGCGGGCGACTGCGCGGCGCTGTGCTGCTGCCCGTGCACCATCCTCCACCTGGTGGCGCTCATCTGCATCCGGCTGCCGCTCACGCTGCTCTACGGCGCGTGCTCGAGGCTGCTGAGGCGGCGGCGGTGGTGGCGCTGCTGGCGGAGGAGCTGGCGGAGCGAGCGCAAGAGGAGGGCGTCGTCGTCGGCGTTTTCAGCTGACATTGGCGAGACCGTTGTGGCTGTCGCCGCCGCCGCCAAGCTTGGCGGAGGAGGAGAGAACTACCACCACCACCACCAGCATCACCACCAGCGGAGATCTTCCTTCAGCGCGTGGCCTTTCGGCGAGCCGCTGGTGATCGACTTCCCGCCATACCCCGGCGGGTTTGGCGACGCGCGGCACTGGACCTTCTTCGACTCGGGCTCCGACGGCAGCTCCGGGTCGCCCAAGAAATCCCACTCCGCAAACGCCCAGCCTTGGGATCCACAGCAACACCGCCACAAACAACAACAACAAGATCATCAACTCCAACAAGAACAAGAGTCGCAACTAAACGACTAAAAACCCCTCATACCAAAAAAAAAACTCATAGCCATCAACTAATTTTTCTCATGGCCCGGGAGTCAAATGCATTTGTTAGTGCTTGAAGTCAATCCAGGGGAATCTTTTGATTTGAATATGCCTGCCTACGTAGCTACGCTAGGCCTACAAGGCGTAGCTGGCGGCCTATACATTTATCAACAAAGAAATACAGCAAGCAGATCAGGGTTATAGTCTCTGGAACATGTGCATGTGCATGCGCATGGCCATGCACGCACTTTTCCAGACATTAATTTGAAAGCTGACACAATTGCCCACCTTCTTGCCGCAAAAACTAAACCAAAACTAAACCTTACGTGCATGGCGGCATATTCCGCTCTAATTAGGTGGCCCGGTAACAAAACTTTTTACCCCCGCTTGCATTCGCCAGGGCCTCGGCAAATTGTGGTGGCCGTGCAGTGGGTTATAAAATCTTGGCCCCCTGGACTGGATGGGCCACAGGGCAGCTGTACGGCCTGGCCAGCGCGACGCGTACGGCACGTAGTACCCCGTGTGTTTTCTTTCCTTGCTTGTTTTTGGCATTTCTTTCTTGTTATCTTTTTTGTTGATTGGCCACTCATGACAAATTTGAGGGAACCCTCTCGCCAACATTATGGGGCCATCCCAAGAAGAAAAAAAGAATGGATTTGCCTGGGCCGTACAGGGCCACAATGGGGGACGTACAGCGGGCCCCTTCTTTAATGACGGGGCCGCCCCGATGACCTTTTACTACATTGGCATGGCTTTTTTTTTTTTTTCCTTGTTTGTGTACCAAAATGCCGCTAACTAAATGTAGCGCCGTTCCGTTAAAAAAAGAGAAGACCTCCTCGATTTCTTTCTTTCTTGCGCGCCTCTCTCTCGGTCTCTCTCTCTCTCACGCTCTCTCTCTCTCTCTCGATCGATTCGAGTCTTCCCTGCTATAAAATAAGAGCCCATTCTTTGGAAACCCTCCGTTCGCTTCTTCTTCTTCTTCTTTCTTCGTTCTTCTTCGCTTTCCTCTCTCTCTCTCTCTCATCTTTCCGGGAGGAGAAGGCATGGGGGTTCTTGCTCGATTGCCAGCAGCATGCCAAGATTGTCCTGGCCGCGATTCAAAATTCGGCAGCGCGGGCTGTGAGATTCACACCCAATTCTTGTCTTTCCGTTTTGTCGCTCCTCGATGGTTGGGTTTTCTCTTTTCCCTCCCTACCAATCAATCCCTTCCTCCTTGAGTTCACGTGTGAGAGGATGAGATCGATTGCGGAGCAAGTCCTGGATGTGGGGATTGTTGCCTGGCTCGAGGGAGGCATTCCTTTGATCTTTTCTCTCCTGGGAAGTACTCCAGAAGAACTGTGCCAGAAATGTGCGCTCTCGGACCAGGCTTCATTCCCCTCATCTGAGATTGCACCATTCACTCTCGCCTTCGTCGTCGACTACGCGCTCTCTCTCTCGAATCCATGCATCCATGCAGGTAAGTTTGTCAACAAAACTGTAGCATTTGAAATAGATCTGTGAGCTGCACAGAGTTGCAGGGAGAACTCTAGTTTCTTCGTTTGTTGTCTACAGCATGGTTTCGTGATAGCTCTTGACTTCCTTCACCACGGACAAGACTTTTTCGTTCTGATCTGTCGTGATCATGGTGGGAAAGCTTTCGTTACCACGTAGAATTGTAGTATGTACTGCTCCTGAGATCAGTGACTTTTCATCCGAAACAACAATAAGATCTGGTTCCCGAAGCATAGCGTCGTGAAGTGCACGTTGTTTGGCCTCGGGAGCTCCACTTCTTTCGTGATTCGTGATCGATCTACGACTGCATTACAAGTCAACTCGGAGCTGGGTGTTTTGGTTTTCGCAATGCTGCGCACCGCAGCAATTCCGCAAGGCTTTTTTCCTAAAAAATCTCGGCATTGCGGTGCACAGATTCCTTCAAGGAACGGCCAAAGCAAAACCAACACAACGACAGGCAAATGCTCACCGAAGTTTCGAAGTTGCCGTTCTAAATCAGCTTCTCTTATTATTTTTATTATTATGATTATTATAGGCAGTCCTGGACAAGTCCCATTCTGTCCTTGTGTTCTGCTTATAATCGTTGCGTAACAAGTTGTGAAATTGTAGAAATATAAAATGCAAACACCACCGCATAATAACTAATCTACAAACGCAACGCTCTCGCGGATTGATAAATCCCATGCTCTTGGCTGGCATGACAATAGCATCTCTGTGCCCGGTGATTTGATTCACTTCCTCCCCCTCCATTGCAAACTTCAATGCAGGAAGATCGCAGGAGAAAGCAGCAATAGTAAAAAACTATACAAAGAGACAAGGTCTACGTATGAGGGTACTGTGCAAGCTGCCGCTTTGCAAATGAGAGAGCAATTGGCACCCCTTGGGTTTTGCACCGCCCCTTTGTTTTCTCTCTTGTTTTCACTCTACAGATCCCAGTGCTTCCATAGTGTTTTTTGCCTCTTTGCGTTTGTCTCTCTATCTGCTCTCATAAGTCTTTCTGCTGCTCTTGTTTGCTGCTTTCTGCTGCCGCTGCTGCTGCTGCTGCTGTTGCTGATTCTGATTTCTGACCTGTGTGATATAATAAAAGTTGACAGAAGTGTTGTATGCGAGTGTGTGTAGGTGTTTTTATGTGTGTGTGCAAGCAAGAAAGCACGTCTCTTTCACGACATTAATCGGAGATTCCAGAAGCCGAAGCTGTTGCTGCGCTCCTCGCTTGCTGCTGTTGCTGCTCCGAGGACGACTCCCCCTGGCAACTGTTGTAAGCATGGCGACGTGGTAGTTACAATGTATTCATGCAGCCATTGGGACAGGGATTAAAACCAACTCAGGAAAGGATCAGAGAGAAAGCTAGTTCAGCACATGAGATTTGAACCAAGCTGCGAGCTGCGACCGATCCCCTTCTAAACCGTGGCCATCTCTTTCCAGCGCCATTAACTCGTCTTGACCACGAGAGACTTCCAAGACCGCTTGCAAGCACGTCTTAGATGTTTCCCTGCGCGCTTTTCATTACACATATAATTGTGAAAACGTGGCTGAGAAGCGCACAGCTGATATTGACTGGTTTGTTTTTCTTCCTCTTTTTGTAATATATACACCATTGTCATCTAGAATAATTTTTTTAGATCCTCTCAAGGTTCGCCATATCTCTCTCGAGAATGCTCCATAACAGGCGCCACCAGCACGCAGTAGACAGGCAGACAGACAAGGAGGTATCGAAACTAGCTGGCTGACTTACGATTAACGAGGCGAGTTCTCTCTCTCTCTGTGCTTTCGTCGTCGCCTCCATGAAATCGAAATCTATAATCTAATCTAGATACATCTATATAATAGATAAAGAAGAAAGTTCACGGCTCATGAATACACTAAAGCGGAAGCTGGAGATGGGGTTTTTAAATGCGCTGGTTTGACTCTAAGAAAGAGATTACCCCTTGCTCGCTTGGTTGGAATCGATTTGGGGCGGAGCGAAAGCGACCTCAGCAGTAGCAGCAGCAGCAGCAGCAGCAGCAGCAAAAGCTGCTTGCAACAAATACTACTGTTGCGAGCGCTGTACGTGGCTTTCATGGCCAATGGTGGCGGTAAGGTCACTCGGAAACGATAACTTAGCCCAGCCATGGTGCTGCGCTGTGCAACGGCTGCATACTGCACGGTATACAGCCACCCACGGCTGCATTTGCTTCTGAACGAACTATATAGCTATTCATTCAATAAATCTATATAGTATACTAGTAGTAGTAGTACGTAGCCTTTTACCGTGCTGCTTTCTTTAAACCCTGGCCTTGTGCTTTCTCTGCCTGGCGCAAGAACAACCTGAATTCCTACTTCGGAAAAGTTAGCGTAATGGCAGCTGACCCTTGACTGGATTCCTTGTCGCAAGTACAACCATTATATGTTAAGCTTGAGTCGGTGATCATATGCGGTTCGATCAGATCAAAGCAAGCTCACACTTTTTTTCTTTTGATCCTTGAATTAGTTCGTATTTGCTTGGAGATGTTTGAGGAGTACCATGCACAAAGGACCAAAGTTACGAGGCCTCGGCTCTTTTGGCAAACCGTTATTGAGGGAGGCTATGTCGTTGTCGGCAATGGCGAGGCGGAGGGAGCCCGTGGAGAATCATCGCAGCAAGTAGCCTAGCAAGTGGCGTTTTATAGTTGATCGATCAGCGGAGTTGGACTGGGGCATTGAAGGGGAAATAGCAAGTACGATTCGATTCAAACAACAACTAAAAATCTGTCGATCCCGTGCAACGACGTTCAAACGGATGAAATCCTCGGAACAAGACCTTTTCTCCAGTCAAGGCAACACATGCAAAATATTTGAGAGTACAAGAAAACGGTATTTGCTCTCTTAAGCAAGAAATTATAAACTTGAGATGTTAATTTTTTACTTATATAATGTAATAACAAAGAATGAAATATAGTAAGAAATTCAATTTTTTTTAATAGCTAATATAATTTGTTAATTTTACAATAATTTTTTAATTTGCTTCATGAATTCCTTAGTTAAGCGTGTGTACGTGTGTTCAGTTGGGTGTATTATATCCCAGAAGACATAATCACTTGGATTCTTGCACAACCCACTAAATGTGTTCTTTTGTGAAAGGCAGTTGGGGCAACAACCACCAGCTTTCTTAAATCCAAACCTCTTTGGATTGTCCACATATGATTTAATCAAAGAGTAACCATCCACAAATGCTCCTTTCATCCCTGGAAACTTCTTTGCCACCCCCAAAACAATCTCCCGAGCTTGTATATTGAATTCTTCCACCAGATTGTTAATCTCACTCACACATCTCCCTCCGGAAGTCACAATAGGCGAACATCCTAGTGCCCCAACACTAGAGTAGATAGTCTTCCGAAATCCATGATTGTACAGCTCTTGTAAGCCCTTCTCGAGTGATGTTAACATTGCTTTCAAGTCAACATTAGCTATGTCTTGAAGATTTGCTGCAATATCGTTCCCACTAGAAGATATCACAACCACAAAATCATTGAGATTGAGATTCTTCTTGGAGAGTTGCCCAAGCTGCTTAAGTTGCTCGTTAAATGACACAACGCCCCAGTCCGAGTGAGTCGAGTCAAGTAAACCACTGCCGTATGAAGCAAAGTTGATGCTTAGTGGAAATTGACTCCCAGCTTTCAAGCCCAAGAATGGTCTTGAAAAGGGCAAACCTATCGCCTTGTTTATCAGATCTGGAATTATAAACCCATCACTACACCTTCCGGATGGCTTTCTAAACCTCGTCTCCCCATATGGCACAAAATCACAGCGCGAAACTGAATCCTTCACATATTTGTTTGTGCCCACGTCGAAGATTGAATCTCCCATGTAGATAGTCCTCAGTTGAGGAATCGACCTCCCATACACGCACACGCAGAGAGCCAAGATTTCAACCACGAACACTAAGATCCTCGACCACCTCGTCATCTCGCCAAAACCTTATGGCAAAACCTAATGCACAAGCTAATTTATATAGAGTTAGGGAAAAAGGAAAAGGTTACTGGCTGTGATTAAAAATCGGGAACTAGTTATGCAAAGCTTAAGGGGATAGTTGAGTACCTTTAAATACTTGAATTTAAACTATAGCTAAAATTTTAGCAAACTTTGGATGCATTGTCTACATGATATCATAGACAATAATAGACTGAGGAAGGATGGCAGCATTATCATACACCACAAGCTCATCAAAGTTGAGTATCCCTCCCACTTCACCAGACACGGAGTGATAGCCATCCGGTGGAGCAACCAACTCGGGCCTGTCCTCGGTCACCTTGAACACTCGCCCGGCCAGAACCTTACACACGAGCATGGCATGGTGTCTGGAACCCGAGGAGCTGCCGTAGGCCTTGACATAGTCGTTTGCCTTGCTGCTGGTTGCCGTCACATAGATCCCCGCCCCAAACCGGAGGAATCCATCCACCTTTGCTTTCTTCTTCTTGAATCCGGCCAGGATGATGTTGCAGAGGCTGCACGAGAGATTGCTGCACAGTGACTGCTGCTGCGGCGTCCCGAGCCCGCACAGGACCGTCGTGCCGTGGAAGCGCAGGACCTCGTTTCCATTCTTTCCAATCTTCTCGTCCCTGCTGCCTCTCTGGGCCATCAGCTTTTCTCTGTAGTCCGCGAACCGCTTCACCCTGTGACCCGGATTGTACACGCGGAGGATGTCAATGATGGACGCTTCGCTGCCTGGATGGTTCCATTTGGCACGGAAGTATGCCAAGACTCTTCCTCGTTCCGGGTCGTCCCTGCGCATGCCCTCCACTGAAAAAACACGGGTAAATAACGAGAGAGCTTCTGGAAACTGGCCAGAGGAGTGGTTACCTGCGTGCTTTACCAGGAAGTGCTGGTCCAGGTACTGCGGGGAGTCGAACTTCGCGCCGCACACGAAGCATGAGAAGTGCTTTCCCCCGTCCCGTGGGCCGGACACCTTCATATGCGCTGCTGACGACCGCTGGTGCTGATGGAGCTGCTGGTGATCCCGGAACTTCGCTCCACAGTCACTGCAGGCCAGGACTTTCGGAGTAGGAGTTGGGGCCGAGGGAGCCTTGGTTGAGCCAGAACATTGGCCGTGACTATCTCTGAAATGTTGTAGCATGTACTCCTTGCTCGTAAACGACCTCAAACAGTCAGGAGCTTTGCAGGGGACCCTTGCTTGAGCCTGGAGTTTAGACATCTTCGAGCTGAAAGAGTAAGAAGGATCGAATTTTTACTGAAAGAGAAACCTCCTTACCTTCCACGCTTTTGGAGCGTTCCTCGTTCTTGCAAATATAGACGTTTTTCGTACGCTGGATTGTTGATAATCTTCTTCTGAGTTTCACGCCATCCGACAAATAACTACTGATTGGTCAGCACGGTGGAGAAAAAATTTATTACCTCCTCAGATTATCGTCTCAAAATGAGGAACAGCAAAAAGAAATCACAGCACAAAACTGCACGAAACGTCTCATCAGAGTGTCAGCTCAGACGGTAAACAAGCTTTCCTAGTTAGTTTGGCCCCGAGTTTGGCAAGTTTAACATCGAGTTTTTCGTAGCCCCTGTCAATGTGACTGACACCTTCAATAGTGGTGACGCCTTCACCAGCCATTCCAGCAAGAACCAAAGCGGCTCCCGCTCGTAAATCCGTTGCTAGAACCGGGGCTCCGTACAAAGAGCTGCCAAGAAACCACACGCATGATGTTGCAAAAGAACGACCCAAAAACGCTATACCTTCCTTGGTCCTTGCCACTTATAAATGCTAAGTTCTTGCTCACTCTTATTTTAGCTCCCAGCTTTTGAAGCTCCTCCACTGCACAGTACCTCACCATGAAATAGCAGCGCAATGGAACACTCAAAGTTTTTACCGTGCCGCATCCTGCTCTCAAATACAGTTTCTTCCACGATACTTTGTCCGCAACAAGTTGTCATAAGAGATGACATCTGTGGTTGCAAGTCAGTGGGAAAACCAGGATACGGAAGGGTTGTCACATCCAGCCTTTGGAGACGCGAACCGCAAGTCACCTGCACGAACTCGTGGTACATACCGCCAAGCCACTTGATCACGAGGAATTTACCTCGAGCCCGTCGGGTGCGGTTTGCACAATTTTGCAGCCGATTTGTTGTAGCTTGCTCACAACAGCAACCAAGTGTCGAGGCACAACTCGAGACATGGAAATGGATGACCGTGTTATGGCTGCGGCCATCAAGAATGTCCCAGCTTCAATGCGATCTGGAATTATCGTAAACGACGTCCCGTGCAATCTCGGGACCCCTTCGACCGAGAGACACTTGGTTCCTGCACCAGTTATGTTTGCACCACAAGAGTTCAGAAACTCCGCAAGATCCACAACCTCGGGTTCCTGAACGACGTTAATTCTTTCCATGCATTACGTTTCATGAGAAGGCAGCAACGTAAGAAAATCATACCTGAGCGACATTGTACAACGTCGACTTGCCATCTGCCAGTGCCGCAGCCATCATCAACGTCTCCGTCGCGCCAACGCTCGGATAGTCAAGACAGAAGCTCCCACCGACCAGTTTTGATCCATTCGCTGCTCGAGCATGAACTTTCCCATGCCTGCAAAGTACAACGTTGGATGAGTTGTCAACAAGGAGAAATAAAATAAAATAAAAAAGGAAACATCACTAGCCTGACTTTCACTTGCGCTCCCAAAGCTTGCAAGCCACGGACGTGAAGATCAATCGGTCTAGCTCCAATGTTGCAACCACCAGGTAGAGGAACTACCGCTTCACCCTGTCGTCCCACAAGAGCACCGATGACAAAGAAGCTCGCTCTGAGCTTCCTCACGACGTCGGGGCACGGCTCCACCGAAGTGATATGACGAGAGTCAATCACAATGTCGCAAGCCTCTCGTCTGATGCGCACCCCGACTGACTGGAGCACCTGGAACATCCTCCGGATGTCATGGAGGTCCGGAACCATCCGGAGGCTGACTTGATCGTTGGTACACAAGGCACCAGCGAGAACTGCTAGCGCCGAGTTCTTGGCACCACTTATCTGGACGTGGCCAGATAGAACTGTGCCGCCTTGGATCTCAAGGCACTCTGGATAACTAGCTGGAGCACTGGTGAGTGGTGGCAAGCTCGATGGATTGGTGCTTACCAGATTATTTTTCTCGTTTATCACCGGAGCTGCTTGAGCCTGAGCGTGAACTGGAGTTGGAGTCGCAAATGTCCATCTGGAGAAACGAAGATCTCTTCTACTAAATCCGCTGCTCCAGACACGGCGACTGGCGATTCCATGAGCATGCAGGGATCGCGATGGCCAAGCGGAGAGGATTCCGTCGGCATTTCCCCAGCTGTGGTGATTGAGCGCCAGGCACGAGCAAGCGAGCCCGGCCATGGCCGCAGCAGGAGCCATGCCCCTGCCAGACTAACCGCTATGGCGCGCCACAGATTATCGATAGCGCCCGCATTGTGATGGCTCCTCGCCTGTAAAACCCTAGCGCTGGAGAGAAGAGCGAGCAATGCCGCAAAAGTCTTTCCAAGACTTGATTGGAGCAGCGATCTATGCCCTAGAAGCTCCGAAAATCAGGGGATCGCGAAATATTTCGATGCTTTGCAGCCCTATAGCGCGATTGATGAGGAGCACTAAAGAAGAGCTTCTTTATCCTGGCAATGCCAGACTAGAGAATGCGTGTCTCTCAGTGGAAGCTTGAGAGAGAGAGGCGAGCGGCAAACAAGCAGGCAATGACGTGGTCCACGTGGCAAAAAGAATACGCTGATTGGCTGTCGGGGATTTTCATCATATGCCCATGTTTTTCATGCTCTTTTTAAAAAAGGGCAAAAAATAAGCCGTTGGGGTGAGAGAGGCTCGAACTCTCGACCTCAGGATAACTCAGAAGCTATGAGACCTACGCGCTAGCCAACTGCGCCACCACCCCCTGACAGTATTCTTTTCAAACAAAAACCTTTTATACGAGGAAGCATGGCACTGTTAAAACTAAAGGTTTTAGGGTTCCTGGGGGGGAGAGGAGAAATGGCCAATAGGAGCGACGACCAGCACGGCGAGGTGGAGAACGCCCCTCCCGCGGAGCCGAACGACGAAGAGGACTCTTTGCTGATGCGAGTCAATGCGTATCTCGGCGATGCCCCTCCCGGCCCCGATCCGGCCGAAGGTGAGTGTTCGATCGATCAATCCCGCTGCTAGCAATGTTTTCCCCATCCGCGATCGATCGACCAATCCCTCCTCGCGTGCTGCTAACAATGGTTTCCCCAATCCGCGCAGTGGAGGACGCCGAGAGCTCGCCGGTGTGGCTGGCCGTGGAGGAGAGCATCCGGCAGCACACGAGGCCCGCATTGGAGGAGGCGGTGAAGCAGGCGAGGGCGGAGGCCTCGGCGCAGGCGACGCGGGAGCTGCGCATGGAGCTCCAGGCCCTGGCACAGGATAGCTCCGCCCGGATGGAGCGCTTCAAGGCGGAGCTGGATCAGGAGAGGGCCAGGGTCGCGGAGCTCAGGGAGGAGCTCGCCATCGCCAAGGCTCAGGCCGTGGAGTCCAAGATCAAGGCCAAGCTCATGCTCGACTTCGCGCTCAACGAAAGGCTCTTCATCTAAAAGCTCCCTTCTCTTTAGTTTTAGTGCCTTTAATTTTGACCTTTAAAAGACTGGTCTACGTTTAAGGGGAAAAGGAATATGCTTTTGTAGATTGCGAATCGCTAGACACGTGGACGGCTGTAATTTAAACTATGGCTTGGGGCGTGGGGAGCCCTAACCGATGCCTGCCCGGGTGGGATGAGGAAAAGCAGCCTGGGCATTGCCGCCGATTCCCAGCAATCGGCATCGTCGCCATCGCCACCAGCAGCGCTACCTCTCCAATCCCTAGCCGCGGCAGGAGGAAGATCTAGATCATCGCTGCCGACTGGATCGTCGCGTGGATTGATCGATCGCGGGTGTGATCTGGGATGAAGAAGGCGAGGGCGAGCGTTCTCACCAAGTATGACTCGGGCGGCGGACAGGTGGTGGCGGCATCGGTGAGGCTGGGCGTGGACGATCTCCAATTGCGGGCCTCCTGCTCCGATCGGACCTTCGTGCGCAGCGCGGGGCTCAAGGGGCTCACGGTCGGGGTGGAGAAGCCCGGATCGTTCGTCCTCGAGTACGATGTCCACGAAGCAGTGCCGCGCTTCCAATTCTCGGGCGTCGGCCGGCTGCTCAACAAGGATGTCCAGGTCTCCTACACGCACCAGCCCAAGACCCGAGACGCGCTCGTCGTGGATGGGATTCTCATCGCCAATCCCGCCAACAAGCTCCACGGCCGGATGATCTTCCCCACCAACAAGGGCCATGTCAAGATGTGCTACGTCCACAATGGCCACACGAGCATCGAGCCGGGGGTGGAGTTTCCCAGCCGGGCCTGGAATCTGGGGATCGCGCACAAGTTCCCCGGCAATCACAACGTCAAGGCGACCTACGATCATATGGTGAAGACGGTGGGATTGGCGTGGAGCAGGGATCCCGAGAATGGCAGCGGCGCTTGCAAGATCTCCGCCAATGTGCCGCTCCAAGAACCGAAGAACGTCCGGGTGCTCATGGAGAAGGTGTGGAATTTCGACTTCTAGATCGGCGGCGGCAGCGGGGAAGAGTGGAGAGATTTGATGTGGATTTCTTCCTTTCCCCCCCTTTCTTCCCCCATTCTTTTTGGTGAAATAAAACTTTAGGGTTCTTGGAACTCGCTTCTAGGGTTCTTGAGAGAACGCGGCCCTGGCGCGCGAGCGATTCATCATGTATGTGTCATTTCTGGCACTGTCTCCTTAGATCAGAGCACTTGCGGCGGAATCCGGGGCGGCATTGCGCGTATGGCTGGGATTATCGAAGATATCTGGGAAATCACTTCGAGGTAGAGGATTTCCAGGACCAGGAGGGAGGATCGCGCACACAGGAGCTTCTCACCGCATTGAAGGCATGCAGCAGCGCCAGGGATCTCGACATCGCCCGGGCGATCCATGCCCGCGCCCTTCACACTGGGCATTTCGCCAATGTGTACGTGGCCAACACGGCCGTGGACATGTTCGCGAGCTGTGGAAGCCTGGCGGAGGCCCGCGGCGTTTTCGACCGGATGCCGTGCCACAGCGTGGTGTCCTGGAACGCTTTGATTCTCGGCTACGCACAGCACGGGGTGAAGGAGGCGGCACTGGCATTGGATTTGTTCCGGGGCATGGAAGCTGAGCCGGATCGCCGGACTTTCGTGGCGGCTCTCAAGGCTTGCAGCACCATGGCAGCGAGCAGCGAATCCAGCAAGCTCGGGATCCTGGAAATCGGCATGGCGACACACTCTCAAGCTATCAAGGCTGGATGCGATGCTTTCAACTACGTCGCGAACACTCTGGTGGATATGTATGCCAACTGCGGGAGCATAACCGATGCTCGCAAGGTCTTTGACAGGATGGAGAGCTGGGACGTGGTGTCCTGGAATGCGCTGCTGCTGGGCTATGCCGAGAATGAAGAGGGAGAGCTCGCTTTGAGACTCTTCTCGTGCATGGCATCGATTGAGGATGCTCCGCAAAATCACCTGACTTTCGTGGCGGCGATCAAAGCTTGCACGAATCTGGCGGCCAAGGAGAAGGGGAGAAACGTTGATGGGAGGCTTCTCAAGGTGGCGGCTCTGGAGAGAGCCAGTGATCTTCACACCCAAGCTACCGCGAGCGGTCACGACAGAAACGCTAAAGTGGCCGGTGCTTTGGTCGACATGTATGCGAAGTGTGGGATCATGGTGGCTGCTCGTCGCGTCTTCGAGAAGTTTTCGCCCCTGGATGTGGCGCTGTGGAACATTTTGATGCTGGGCTACGCGGACAACAAGGAAGCCGAGGTGGCTTTGGAGGTTTTCGAGAGTATGAATTCACAGGGCTTTACACCCAACTCCAGGACGTTTGTGGCGGTGCTCAAGGCTTGCACCAGCCTAGCAGCAAAAGAAGAAGGGAGAAGCCTGAACGGGAAGGTGGTGAAGCTTGGCTGCTTGGAGAAAGGTGTAGCCATCCACAGGCAAGCTTTGGAGCTTGGCTGCGACGGTGATATCTATCTAGCAAGCACGCTGGTGGACCTGTACGCGAAATGTGGGAGCTTAACAGATGCTCGCAAGGTGTTCGATGCAATGCTTCGCCGGAATGAGGTCTCCTGGAACGCACTGATACAGGGGTACGTTGAGAGCAACGAGGCGGAGGGAGCTCTGGCGCTCTTTTCAGAAATGAGAACTTCCACCTGTGCGCCGGACGCTCTAAGTTTTGTGGCGGCGATCAAGGCATGCACGGCTCTGGGTGCTGAAGAGCTTGGCAAACAGCAACCCGATGGCAAGCTCGTGAAGGTGGTGTCGCTGGAAAAAGGCAGGGCAGTTCACGATCAAGCTAGAAATTCCGGCTGGGACGCCAACACCTTCGTCAGGAATTCGCTGGTGGACATGTACGCAAAGTGTGGCAGCCTGGAAGACGCACGCAGGCTCTTGGACGGGATACCTGGTTGCGATGCGGTCTCCAAAACAGCTCTCATGCAGGGGTATGCCGAGAGTGGAGACGGAGAGCTTGCGCTGGAAATCTTCTGGGCTATGGAGTCGAGAGACGCACTAGCGTTTGCAGCAGCTCTCAAGGCCTGCGGAAGTATAGCAGCTCTGGAACCCGGTAGACGGATCCATGCAGAAGCGTGCAGGGTAGACTTCGGACGGGATTCACTGGTACCAAACGGCGTAGTGGATTTCTATGCAAAGTGCGGGAGCATGGACGCTGCTCAGCACGCCTTCGACTCGCTCCAGAGCAGAGACTCTGTGAACTTCACGGCACTGATCGCCGGGTACAGTCACCAGGGAGACAGCAGCGCGGTGTTCGATCTCTTCCACGCCATGGAAGACGAGGGCTGCGACGCAAACGCGGTGACCTTCGTCAGCCTCCTCACGGCTTGCAGCCGAGCAGGGCTGGTGCGCAACGGACAGAGCTACTTCAGCGCGATGGCGGCCAAGTTTGGAGTGAGGCCGGGGCTGGAGCACTACGTGTGCATGGTGGACATGCTGGCCCGCTCGAATCACCTGTCGCAAGCGCTGGCGATGGTGGAGGGGATGCCGTTCCAGCCCAACACGGTGCTGTGGACGTCGGTACTGTCAGCCTGCTGGAAGTGGAAGAATGTGGAGGTAGGAAAGCTGGCGTTTGACGCGTTGGTCCGGCTGGATGAGAACGAAAGCGCGGCTTACTTGCTCATGGCCAACATCTATGGAAGCTGCGGTCTGTGGGAGGAGCGTGCCAGAGTTCTGGAAGCGGCTACAGGAAAACAGGTTCCCAGGTTGTGCCAGGAATTTGGAAGCAGCTAGAGGGATAGGATGGGACCGGCTGATGGAGGTGCTGGTCATCGAAAAGAAAACTTTGGAGTCAGGGAAGGGATGGGCTGATGATCATCGAAGCAGGAAGAATGAAAGCTATGAAAGCTCGAACTTTGGAATCAGGGAAGGGCTGCAGGAAGAACGAAAGCTACAACTTTGGAGTCACTGGGAAGACAAGAACGACAGGGGAGAGAAGAACGAACGCAGCGGAGAATGGAAGTCAGGAACAATGGTATTACAGACAAGGGAGCAGAATTATACAGATAAATGAGGAGATCATCCACCAGATCATGGCATCAGCAGCCTCGCCGCCTCTTACCGATGACCCGGACGATCTCTTTGGTCACCTCGAGCTGCATCTCGGCGATCTGGAGCTGGAAGGCCCGGCTCTCCTGGCTCATCTTGAGCTGCGCCTCCACCTCGAGCTGCTTGCACCGCTCGAACGCCTGCGTGTAGTGATTGAGAGCTCCCACCAGCAGGTTGATGGCCGACGACGTGGAGCTCCTGCCCGACTTCTTGCTCTTCTTCCTCACCGACGCCGCCGCCGCTACAGCCCGGAAGTCGATCTCGTCGGCCCGCTCGCTCGTCGTCCTGGGCGACGAGACGGTCGTGTGCTGCTGGTCGTCGTCCTCATCGCCGCCACCTTCTTCTCCAGCGTCGCCACCGTCAGTGCCGCCGCAAGCGCCTCCATGGCCGGGTGGCTCGTCGTCATCGTCGTCGTCGTCGTCGGGGTCCAGGTTGGTGGGCGACGAGCAGTTCCTGGCGGTGGTGGCGGCGTCCGCGTTGTTGCTGTGGATGGCGGCGGCGATCCTCTTGGAATTGGAGTTCCCGGTGGCGAGCGCGGCGGAGGAGAGCTTGAAAGTCCTGCCCAGGATGGAGTCCATGCGGTCGAAGAAGCGCCAGGTCGGGGGGACGTCCGCCTGGATCATCCGGAGCTTTGACTTCTTGTAGAGGCGGATGAGAAGATCCACCTTGTTCTTGCACTGCTTCCAATCGTAGCTCGTCTGGAAGGTGGAATTCAAGGTGTCGGCGATCTCGCGCCAGTGCTGGCTGCGGAGGTTACCCATGTTGAGCTTGATGACCTTGATGTCCTCGAACTGGTCGATGAGGCTGTTCACCACCGCCGTCGGCCATAGATCTCCTCCTCCACCGCCGCCGCCGCCGCCGCCGCCGCTAGCTCCTCCGCCAACGCCACCGCCTCCTGGCGCCGCTCCCGCCGCCGCCGCCGATCCATTGTGACCCAATTCGTCCGCCGCCGCAGCTCCAGCGTCACCGCCCAGCTGCTGCTCGTGCTCATCAGACACAGTAGTGGATTCTCCTCCGGGAGCTGCGATGACCTAGGAAGATCGGGGCATGTCAAGAAAAGAGGAAATTTGGGGAATTGCGAGGGATTTTTCTTACCGCTTCTCCCATGGACTTGGAAGAGATGGATCGAGTAGAGAGGAAGACCCTAGGTGCGTGCGTTAGAGCATCAGTAGCTTAAGAGGGGAGGTTGGCTATGGCGGACAACGGCGACGCGCATGGAACCGCCGGCGGCGCCACATGTGATCCCCGCTGGCTGCATGCCGGAAATGCCGTCCACAGTGACGCGCGGGTATCCTGCCGCACAGCCCCTGACACGGTACTCCACCGCCAGGGAAAGATGCCACCCCACGGAGTGGAATATGCTCCAGCTTTGAAAAATTATAAGGCATAAGAGCGGTTTGCTTGTGTATTTTACATCCTAGAAATCGTCCAGCTGGGTGGGAGTTCGATAAACCTTTTTTTAATCTTTAGGGGGCTTTGATTTGAGGAGCTTGTTTTAGATGAAAACTCTCTTTCCATTGAATTACTAGACAACGTGATTGAATTGCTAAGATTTGGACGCTTGATCCTTGCCAATGACTGATTTGATACCATAGTATTTAGAACTCTAAGGCTGCAATCCAGTAGTGCTGTTCAATGAGTGTATCTCCAGAAAGTGTATTGAACAAACTTGTCACTCAAGTTATGTGGTGTGGAAAATTTTATAGGTCATCTTAGTGATGCTTCCTTGATCTCTTGCAAACATAGCTCAGTTGCTCTCTACGAGCATAATGACTTTGTATGGCAATTTCTCATATACATTGTGATAATTGAGTTTTAAGGTAATTATATCTTCTATGTAGTTGTCTTGAATATTGAAAGTTACATATCAACATGTTCTTTCAAATATTCTCCTCATTATTTCTTTTGTTAATCCTCTTAATTCTCCTTTACTAGTAATATTACTAATAGTAATAGCAATAGTAATATTAATATTAAGGAGTTGAGATTTGTCAATATAGTTATTCTTTTTTATTTGCTTGACTAGAAGAAGTGTTCTTTGACAAGCCTAGACAAAGGACAAATCAACTTTGAGCTTAGCTAGCAACTTATGTTTGCTAAAAATATAATAGGGATAGTGGTGTCTTATGGATATTATTTTTGCTAAATATATAATAGGGATAGTGGGGGAATAATTCATATTGAGAACGAGAAAATAATGCAAATAAAAAAATGAATAGATATCTTAATTATGGTTTAGACCCCTATTTTATGGATTGGATTCAACTAATATGTTATAGTACTATAATTAACATATTACCTAGAAAAGGCAATACATATATATTGATACATATATTTATATACTTTACACTAGCACATGGTTTTTACCTTATGTTTTATAGTGATTTACCTTCACAAAGTAAAATTTACCCTTAGATATGTGTGCTAAGAGCAATGGAGTGGGACTTAAGTTTCAAAACTTTGGACTGCTAACAAAGGGATGGAGCCAAACTCTCAAACATATAATCAAAAAGCAAATGAATAAAAGCATGGAGTGATAATAGAATAGTCTTAATGCATGTAAAATAGAGCTATATAGAATTTAGTACTATTTAAGCATACTGATAGCATATTGCAAAGATATAAGTATTCTATTAGCTAACATGGTATGAAGTTTAGCCTTAAATTTAAGTTGAATGAAAATAAAGATATATACACTTAGTGGGGAGCAAGATTATGTCTCAAGTTGGTTTGTTATACCCAACTTACCTATTATTCCTATTATACATTTAAAACCCTTTATATGAAAGCATATATAAAAGCACATTTTGGGCTTTCACCTAGTCCCAAGAATTAATCTCTAGAATAATCACTAAAATTTATTAAATATAGAATGGTGTTAAGTTGTGAATTTAGATGTGAAAATAACACTATTGTGTTCAAGATAATTTCTACATTTTGTAAATATGCTTTACTAACAAATGTAATTTCATAAATAGCAAAGAGACAGAACGAAAGCAATATATGGGGAATGATAGTGAGAGTGTCTTGACAGAGATAGTAAATCATCATCTAATATTAAAAGACTAAACTCAATATCATAAGGGTTTCTAACACTAGTAAGTGCAACCCAATATATAAATTTCTCATTCTAGGTTGAGTATACTCACCAAGAAATACATAAAAATTTCTACTTTATATTTATCTAGGATAAGTGCACACATAGTGACTAGTTTTTCAAGTAGTTTTGGTAGAGACTAATAAATAAAACCAACAATATCAGCCTCTTGCTAGTGGTAGGAAGATAAAAATATTTGAAAGGACTCACAAATAGGTAATTTTTGATATCTGTAATCACATTTTTAATACTTCCCCTTTGGAAGATGAAAAAGTGATGAAAATAAATTAGATGGAATATCTAAAGTTTCTACTGGATAGTTATATATTGCTAGAAGAAACTGAAACTCCTACTAAATCACTAACTTAGCCATAAAACACTATTGCAACAAATGAGACATCCTATCTCTAAGTTTGCCTATTGGCCATCTTTCAAGACCATTATTAACTCCAAATTATAACTATCAGCAAAACTTACATTTACATCTTCTCTTCGATCAACCTTCAAGTGTTATATTAACTCAAACTTATGACCTTTGTCCTCGTCTAACACAATATTCACTTTGTTCTTCTTCTACATTTTCCTTATCCCCTCTTCAAAAGAAATATTTTTTTGAAGCATTAGTTCTATTTAAACTTGTTATACCCATCTTCACTTTATGATGCACATCATTCCTCCTTATTTCACTATTGAATTCATTTGTCCTTATTTCATCATCAGAGCCAAACTCATATTTGTCCTTTTACCTCTCCTTTGAAGAAAAAAGAGTTCAAAATATTTGGACAAAGAGGAGATAATGAGAAAAATTATAAAGACACATTGTGGGAGAAGTGGATAAAGAAGCATCAAAAAAAGATTTTTAGCAATTGTTTAAAGCAAAAATAAGGATATAAAAAGAGAATAAATTACCTTTTATTAGAAAATACTTTAGCCACCATAAGATAAATAATAAATTCATACTAATCAAACTCTTTAACATACAACTCAATACTTGAGATAAGAAAATTAATAAAAAAAGTCCATCCTCATAAAGGAACATATAAATTTCTCAATATTAACAATAAAATAAAGATTGTCAATAGTATTTATAACCAAAGATATACAGTCAATCTAAAACTTTAGCAAAAGTGAATCAACTCTTGAAATAGAGGAATATTCAACACCAAAACTGATAAAAAAGCTTTACCAACAAAAAAAAAGCAAAATTCTCCTCTTTAAAGAACATAAAAAGGTAGCTCATGCCATGAAATAAAAAAGGTTAGGAAAGAGTAGAAGGCAAAAAAAATAAAAATCAAATAACAAATATACATATTGTGAGTGCATGGAATATGGAAAGAGAATACAGAAAATGTGCATATCAATTAGCCCAAAAACCTTAGCTTATATACAAAAGCAAGTGGTCTGGATTAAAACCAATCTAACAACTACTAAAATCCCACTATGCTAATATTAAAATATAGCATCGTAGCCGTACACTCGGACCTCACATCATCCCTTCCTCTTGGAATAATGGAAGAGCATTAGAGTTCTCTTGTAGATGGCTTGAGATTTGGAGGAATGTTAGGAGGAGGCATCAGCACATCTATAGGTGGTATCAGTTGTTCCTGATCCCTAATATGAAGCATTTCAACTGCTGCACATGTACAATTTCTGGAGGATCGGCCTGCTAGATGTCATGCCGAACCTCTTAAACTTGCAGTCCAACTTGCCATAACACCTGATACGGTCCTTTCCACTTAGCAAGGAGCCCCTTAGATAAACCACATACCATAAGATGGGGAAAACGGACTAACACCAAATCATCCACTTTGTACTCTGCAGGTAGACAATGATAGGAATTGTAATGCCATTGTTGTCCCACTTGTATACGGCCTAAGTGTTCAGCAGACTCTACTCGGACAAGTGGAAAAATGCTTATCAAATACTGATCCCACAACCTAGCATTGGTTGCTTGTGGTAATCGCGAAAGTAAACCCAACTCCGTTGGTAATATTGGATTATGACCATATAGAAGTTTATATGGTGAAGCACCAACAAAACTCTGTACCCCTATGACATATGCATACCGAAGAGATGGCAAATAACCATCCTAATCCAAATGCTGAAAATTCACATACTTCGCAATCATTCCTTTGAATGTCCAAACGAGCCATTCCACCAAACCGTCTGACTATGGATGATAAGCACTTGTGAAAGTGCGGCGTATCCCCAACCAAGATATCAAAACATAAAATGCCTCAACCATAAACATGGGACTATTATCCGAAAGAATTCGCTCTAGACAAGAATCCTAGAACACCACTCAATTGAGGAGGAAGTATTCAACAATAGTTGCAAAGGCGCTAGCAAGAGCACTAACTTCCACCTAACAAGTCAAATAATTAGAAGTAATAATAACATATTTATTTGCTAGCAGTTGATCGTGGAAAAGGTCCCATAAGTTCAAATGCCACCAACTTAAATGGACAGGAAACTGCAATTAACTCCAACCATCCTTCCGCGGCACGAGGGGGAGTACTACGAGCTTGGCACCAAATGCAACTACGCATATACTGGATATATTGGATAATATCATGTCACATCTCCAGCCAATAGAAAGACTTGTGCAGCTTTTTGGTCACACGACATTGTCCCATATGCCCATATAGAATAGAAGAATCATGATAGGCATGGAGAAACCGTGGAATAAAGACAAAAGGCACCACCAACCATAAAGGATTATCAAGATCCATCCTCACAAAATAAATAAGGTCATCTTCAAGGCGATATTGAGAATGTAAATGCTGGAATGGCAAGTCATCAGCAAGTGATGCAAGATTCTCAAACCCATCTCGAAGCCTTTGAATCCATAACTCGATCTTTTGAGCCTCGTGAACCTCATCAACAGAAGGAAGATCTTGCTCTGCACTTTGTAGACACTAAATGTCAAGTATAGCAACCGTTGACGGCACAGAATCCTCGTCTGGAAAATCCACAGATGCTAGAACAATAGGCTTGTTAGAAACATGAGAAGAGAGTGGAGAAGGAAGAGGAGCTCGTGAAAAAACATTAGCATCAGCCATAGAACTTTTAGGGCGATGAACAACCTCAAAATCATATATCTAAAGCTTCAAAACCCACCAAGCAGTATGATCAACCAGGTTCTTTCGCTTCAATAATGAAGTAACGGCAGTATGATCACCTTCAAGTAAAGTCCAAAAACCATATAGATATGCATGAAGTTTCTTGAAACCCCAAACTGCTGCTAAATACTTATTCTCTGTCGTAGAGTAGTTCATTTCCGCTGGTTGTAATGTATGGCTTATATACAAAATGGAATGGCATTAACCAGGCACACTTGGGCTTTCTTGCATTAACACACTTCCAAGACTAATATCAAAAACATCCATGCGTAAAATAAAAAGTTGAATGTAATCAGGATATGCCAAAACTGGAGAAGTCGTCAATAGCTCT